AAAGAGTATCAGGATCAGTACAGGGGGGAAACCACCGGCAGAGAGGACTGGCAACTGGGTGTGTTATATCAGTGTATCACTGCGTCATTTCGCTCACGTCTCCTCCCTTCCCCGAGATCGTTTGTCCTGGGCCTGTGTTCCCCCAAACGTATGTTTTTATTTCTTGCTCCCTTCCGACTGTCGGCTTCACGGTCTATAAGCTCTGCATCTCTGCCCAGACTTCCTGCTCTCGTCTGCTGCTGCTGCTCTCATGCTGCTGCTCTTGTGTCCCTGCTCTCGTGAATCGCTGCTGCTCTCGTGTATTTACCTCGTTCATTGTTTTAACCTCGATTAATGCTACATGCTGTACTATATAATGTTCACAATGAATGTATTGTCATTGGAATCATGGGCGAGATTGCAAGTCCTCATCATATGGTGTGAGTTTTTATCATGTAATTATCATGCAGGCACTGTCAGCGGTAAGATAGCCATCAATATTATAATATCATCCCTGATCTGACCATTTCACCGTCTGATTTTGGTCTAATTTCCCACATGTTAAAAACGGACTTTACGCTCCACTCGTGCTGGAGATTCGAAATATCATTAAGGTACGGTGTCAGTTATAACGGATTCTACTACTGCTCATGTACTTATATTCGGTCCGCCCATTTAGTGATGTAACCCAGAGTAACGTGGATACTTTGACCCCAAGGTCATCTGGCACGTGTAATCGGGCATCAGGCCCAGGACTCATTGAGATTTGCAGACCGTCAAGACGTGACCGTAACCGCCGTCAATTCATCAAATATTTCTGGCTCTGGCTCACCCGGTTTGGGTTCATCCCAGAGGAGAGGCATTGGTTAGTGAAGGCGGAAAAACAAACACTCAGAGCCTATCAGAGATACGCGAATGTTCCCCCAGCGATACGGTGAGTATCAATGGAATATTTTACGTGACGATATAATTACTTTTTCATTTCAATCGACAGTATCTTAAGCATCTCTATCCTACTAACAATCTGTACCAAGACAGTCAGGCGCGCGGGGCCTTCGTCTTTCAAGAAAGAGCATCGAACACTATGAAGCCACTGTGCCACCTAAGTTTTAGACAGCAGAAAACATCACCCCTTCGCAATCATCCCCCTCGTCATCGTCTTCGTCATCATAATCGTCGTCGTCGTCGTCGTCGTAAAAATCACCCAGCCCGCGCTCCATGCGACGCTGTCGTCGATCCTCTGCTTCGTAAGCTTCCTGCGCGTCCCGCTGCCGCATCTCCTTGCTGGAAGCATCCTGAGCTGCATCGCGTGAGAGCTCGAACCCGCAAGCCTTCCTGACACCTCTAGCAACCCAGGAGTCCCAGGACAGAGATTCAAGCTCCCAGTGCATGCCTTCGATCTCGGAAGAGGTGACGTCTTCTTCGGAGTCCTCGCATGCGACTTTATAGCCGATCCCCATAGCTGCCAGAAGAAGACGAACAGATGCTACAAGTTTGCGTCGGTAGGCCACTCGCTCTTTTGCGTCCATTTCATCCTCCGGTTCTTTAATAGGACCGAAGAGAATCTTGTGGATTTCCAGCACGCCTTCCAGGTTTAGGTCAACCTCGCCACATTCAAACTCGGGGGCACAGTGGGACTCCAGCTTGACCGTATAGCCCCAGCTAATAGACCTCCAGCCGCAGCGCGTATGCATTCTAGAGTATTCGGAGTCGCTAGGCTGCCTATCCGGCAGCCAGCCACGATAGCGATAGTTGGCACCATGAGCGGGGAGTTGGCGAAGGATTTTAAAGCCCAGAGAGTAGTTCCAGCCTCCGTAGTTGCTGTAGTGAAAGTGCAAGTCGATGCATGAGGGGCAGCTTGGACTATAAATACGAACAACGTTGTCTGCACATTGAGGCTAATGGATACATGTGCTGAGATTTGGTCGAAGATATCGGGAAAAGATAGCTTACGTCTTCATTTTCGTTCATGTCGGTGTCTCGCTGGAGAACGGAGATGCACTTCTGGAAGGTACCAACTGGAACTTGCAACTCTTCCTCCATCTCTTTTACACGCTCCCGGATGCTCTCCTGAAGGTGACCACAACAATCATGGCCGTAGTCCTTGTTGAGAGATGCCTCATGCTCGCTACCATCCTCACAACCGTACTTCTCCACAGTTTCGGAGCGACTAATAACGTAGTTTGTCCAGTCGTGAGGAGTTCCAGAAATAGGAGAAAGAAGTGGGCCGAATTTTTGTTGAGCTAGCTCAAGCCCCTGCAGATCGTGGTCCTCAGTTGCGATAGCAGCCATGGCAGAGATAAGGTAAGAGGTGGAGAGAAGGCTGACTTGGTGACGCGTCCTAACAGCGCCTACTTTAGGGCTGGTCACGTCCTTGCACCTCTCGCTCTTTCAGAGCCTGAAGTTCCCAACGCCTTACCAGTGATACAGGCGTCTTCATCACCTGAAATAAATTATGTACAGCAGAATCAATGTCAAAGAAGAGTAAATATGAATTTGTAAAGGTGTACAGTTGTAGAAAGGATTATGGAACGCGCATACATTCATCCTACATGATGCTGCACTACCGCCCCTGCATTCGGTGACCATCATGGATCATGTAGGACCCAAAAAATATCATCATCCTCTAACACGTTCGTGAGGTTCTTGCCAAGGAACGCCTATGGAGATGTCAGCTTAATCATCAACGGTGTGGGGTGACTTTGACCTACCTAGCACTTTGAATATTTCTTCTTCGGTTTCTGACGCGATAATACTACCTAAAGACGGTGTTTTAACGCTCGCCAAAGATGTGTTAGAGGAGGATTCCTTACCTCCGTGAAGCTTGACCCGTCTATCCTTCGGGTCCCGCACGACTCCAGCGTACAATCCCCTTTGGTTAAGAGAGTAGCCGAGCACGTTAGCCTTCATGCGCATAGCACGATTGAACTAATTGCGACGATTGATTTCAGGTATTAGTTGGAACGTTGGATTCGAATACGCACAATATCGTCTCCCTAAACTGAGACGTCAGCTCAAAGATATCCTGAAATGAGGATGAAAAGACGTACCGTATAATAAAGTAAAGCCCCTCCCCGACATTCCCACGGTACACATAGGATATCGATTCTCCGTCGTCTGGCACCTGGAAGCCCCGGAAGCATGCACAGCCCGCGATAGCAGAGCTCGAGGTCCGAATAGTCGTCAGGCACAGACAGGTCTTCCGTCAAAATGTCGAGCTCGTGAAGTTCATCCAGTAGCTTGGATAGAAACCCTGCATGAGTTTTGCCGTCTGCGGTGTCGCGAGTGATGAGGACGTCGATGTCTCCGCAATCGGCTTTTCCTCTGTAAAATGGTCAGGGTAAATTTCAAACGAAGGCTGGATCAAGAGCGTACCTCCGGAAACTACCCATGACTTCTATAAAGAGTTTCGGGTCCATGTCGAGCGCTAAAACAATAATTCTTCAGAAACTAGGCGTTTTGAGACTGGGAGTTACGCACCAACAGACTTGATACGATCGAAAATTTCTTGCACCTCCGCCCGTGGTATACGAGTATTGATGTCTACGGAAGGTATTAAGCCAGTATCAATAGTACTGCCGAGACGTCTTACCGTCGTAGAACTTGATCCCAATTTCCTGTACCGCGGAAACCTTGATGCCTCCTTTGCACATCTTGATATCGTCGAGAGTGCGGCAGCCATTGGCGTACCAGGCGAAAGCGGTGTTTCGACCTGGAAGAACCATTTAATTGTTTCCGCAGACGCAGCGACTACTGTTACTCACCGACACCGTATATTCCCTGGAAGATTTTCGTGGCTTCTACGTCCTCCGTATTTTCGTACTGGATCCTCTTCAAGCCACCGGTCTCGATGATCTCCATAATCTAAGCGGTCGTTGAGTAGTTCGAACGTAACGGAGACGAGGAGTTTAGAGAGCCGCTCACCTTCATGGCAGTCTTCTCTCCGACTCCGCGTATGGCCCGCGCCTGGCTGAGTGACTTGATGCGCTTGGGGTGATTCTTGAGAGCACGAATACCTGGTCACGAATTTATCAGGGTATACTCAGAATAGGGTTGTAATTATTCAACGTACATTTTCCGTAGCTGAAGACGCGCCAGCGATCGTCCTCCGAGGACTTGGCCTTGTGAAGCTCCATAAGCTGTTCGAGCTGACCGGAAAACGTGAGTGGTGGGCCTCGTCAAGTGGTGTAGAGAGACATACAGCGTCGACGACGTCTTGGTTGGCGCATTCCTTTGTTGGAAGTTGCGGTTCTTTCTTGTCACACGTCCATCCCTAAGACACGTAAGAAATCGTCGCTGTTAGAAACCTGAAAGGCTTACTCGTTTGGCCGGTTTAGCCTTGACTGGCGACGCTTCATCCTCGGTCTCGTCCTTATCACGGTTGTGAGTATCTTGTCGTTCGTCCGGCTCGTCCTTCTCGCTTTGAAACTCGTCGTTGTCCTCGGTCCACTAGACAAGATGCAGGTAAGAAAGATGGAAATGAGGTCGTGTGAACGGTGGCGCAGTAACTTACACCCCCTGCGTCCTGCTCGGCCTTGGCTTCCGCGTAAAATTCTGCGAGTGGGTCGTTTGACTTTTCGTCACCCGGGGGATCGAGGCTGCCAGACGGGTCGATTTTTTCAGAGGCGTCCACCGACGGATTATCGTGTGTTGAAGGGACAACTGTGCCAGGCTTCAGAGCGAGACGTGGCGGTGGGAGGACTTGGAGACGGGGACCTGGTGCGGGAATATCCCTACTCGAAACCTCTTGCGTAAAATCCCTAAAATCAACATGAGTAAACCGGGAGAAAATTCGCGAACAAGGAAACCATGGAGTCCACAAGCGCCTATAATCGGCTCTTCTACATATATAGAACCCGCTTGGTTTTACGCACGAAATAATGCTCAAGTCGCCGTTCGACGGCCCCCCTTCACCCACGTCGCTCTTACTCTTGCCCTTGTCCTCCTCCTTCTTGAGCCGCTGCAGCGCTGCCCCGCCCTTTGCACGCCCGCTCGTAATTTTCTGCCACCCGCTGCCAGCATCGATGCGCTCGGCGAACGCCGCGTGCATGAAGTCAAAGTTTATCAGCGTGTCCTCACGCTGTAAAATTTGATTCGGAACGTGGCTGCTGCCGACGCTCGACTGGCCACCCGTGTGCCCTACCCCCGTCTTCTTCCCCTCCTCTTTTTCCTTTCCTTTCTCACCCGCTTTGGCTTTCGCCTTCAACGCCTCTCGCTTGGCTGACTCGGCGGCCTTTTGAGCACGGCTCACGACCGAGATGGCCCAAGACCACTTCACCGTTGGGATGTGCTGCGGAATCTCGGTGAGGGACTTGAGGCCGAGCGCACGAAGGGTGGGGCGGGCGGTGGTGTCGGTGATGATGTACGTAACGACCTCGGGGTCAAACGTCGGCGCGAGCGTCCCACCATGTTTCACGATCTGATTAATGGCAGTGAAAGCACAATATTAGCACTACGTTTGACGACGACGGATGGTAAATGCGTAGACAGTTCGAACGAGTTCCATAACGAGCGTGAATCTGAATCAGCTGTTACAAAATGATCACCGTGGTGTTGCGTGCCCTTCTTCTGGATCAATGTGATGCACCATGCACACGTTCCGAAGTATAGTCCAGGTACACCACACGGAGCCGGCACTCCATCAGACGTCTCTTTCGTAAGGAAAATCACGAAGAAGAAAAATATTGAGGAGAAAAGGGATAGATGTCCGAAGGCGAGGCGAGAAGCGAGACTGCTACCTACATATTCCATCTTTCCTCGCGTAGACTCGCTGGCGTACTGATAATCGCCCCCAGCGTAGAAAATGCATCTCCCACTGAGGTGGTCTGTCTTGTGAAGCTTTGCCTTGCGCTCGTCAGACAGGACGTGCTGCGCATACTCCACCGGGGTCATCAGCTTGGGCTTTTCCGGTTTAACCTTTGCCTTGCCGGCTGCTGCCCGCCGCGCGCTGTTGACAGTCCGGCGAGGCTTCTGGCCGGTAGGAGCCGCTTGGTCAGATGGCTCCCCAGCGCGAACGATCTCAGTAGACGTGCGATTTTGCGGCGAGTTACCAGGCGTTGTAATCGCCGTCATATCATTCATGCTGCCCTCGTCAACTTCCATGGTCGCTGACAGCTGCTTTCTAAGTCTAGTTCTGGAAGGCACGCTGTCAGTAGCCCCTAAACCCCAGCACCCCAATCCAGCTCAAGTCAACTGCCCTGGCATTTTTCTAAAGGTGAAAGTGCTCACCGCTCTCTTGGCTCGCGCCATGAGGATCTGCCTGCGATGGCTGTGACATGGCTGGGACTGAGGCATCAGATAAGTCGCCGTCCTCATGTTCCGATGTAAGAATAGCGTCGTCTCCACTGCGGACGCCCTCAGGCTCCTCGTCTGTTTGCTACATTTATCGTGCAATATTCAGAGAATGTCACTATCGCAATACTTAACTTCGTCGAGCTTACCGGAGCTGTATTACCAATGCGCCGGGCGGTGCTTGACGTGTGAACCTCTCGAATGGTCGAGAACTTCGAACTTGATGTCGCAGTTTTGACAGCTTGCGCATCAGCACGCGATTGTAGATTGTACGTCTTGGAGGCTCGATCCGCTGCTGCTGGCTCAGGAATGACCCTATCTACTTCTCGAGCCCCGCCGCGAGCTGGCGCGGAACGTGCCTGAGCTGAAGGTTCGTAGTCCGATGCACGAGTGGACGCTGTAGCAGCATGGTCTACCAGCTTCTTGGCGCGCCTAAACCCAGTTCAATCAGAATGGACGTGTATACATGCGCATATATGCACCCATATGGGAGCATCGTGCAAGAAAATCTGTACTAACTTGTTACGTGCATCGGGTATGCGTTCTGCAGCGCCTTCGGCACGACCCGAGGTGCTCATATCCTCGCAAGATCCCCGTTTTCGTTTCTCGGCGGCCCGCGAGACGCGACTCGAGGAGACAGGGTCGCCTGCCCCTGTCTTTGTGTTTCTGTTTGGGGAGCGAGAGAGCATAAGCAGACCGTGATTTCCGATATAGAAAGTATGCTGACGATTGAAAATGAGACCCGGAAGCCTTCCCCGTATCTGCCGTAACTGGGGGCGTTCTTGTGGCCAGCGAATTCGAGGGCGTTACGGCATGCCCGAGGGCGTTGGCGCGTTCTTCAGGGGCTAAATGTTGCTTTGCAGGGATCGATGAAGTTTGCTGTTCACTAGACGACATAAGGTTTAGTTTTCAAGGTTTTATTACACCGGCGGGCAATGGGGTAAAGCGTACGCTTCTTCTCGGGCCTTGAGGCGTCGGCGGATGTAGTCATCCTCGTCCTCATCTGGGAGGCTCAAGCATCTGTCCTGCTCTTTGAACAGCTCGGCGTCGAACGGCATGGTTGTCGCAGGTCGCAGGCACGTCGTCGGGAACCCTCAGGTGAATGGCGGGCGACTGGAAAAAAGCAAGGGAAAGCGAGACAGACAAGAGCTCGGGTTTTGAAATTAGGGGCGCTAAGCGTGACAAACATCGCGATACAGGCACCCACAGTATCAGCACGTGAAAGGCGACGCGTCGTGACAGGCGTGACAGGATGACTCGAGCAGTGGGAGATGAGGCTGAGATAGGGTGAGACAATGCTTGATGTAGGGACACATGGACGCGAATCTGCATTGGAAACGAGGCTTCATCAGGACAAGTTTGACATCGTGGTTGTGGCCGTTGACTCACGGCGCTTCGCATCCAACCAGAGTCGGTTAGCCCATCGACGGAGGCACCAATAATGCCGGGGATGCTTCGGACTCGGAGGTTCGAAATGAATCGTTCGAATGAAACCTTCGCAATCTCGAGTAAGTTTTCTGCAGTTTGAAGTCCGCTTTGTTCCATGCTCTGAGTTACTCGAATGCTTTGTTAGGACAGCCAGATTTCAGATCGTTCGTGACAAGAATGGTGGTCGTTCCTATCCTGTCCTATCATAATCTCTTCCATGCTCACTCGGCACCAGATTCAAACTTGGAAGAAGTCCGAGGAGTCGGCTCAACAAGATGACTGGACGTGTCAACTTTCAAGACGCTGAGGTCCGACACGTACTGTTGGTCCACCCAGGCGCCAAAAAGCGATCAGAATCCTCAAAGGCGGAACAAACTGACGATAAAATAGCAAGCATTGGGGCACCAGTAAGACTTCGTCTTTTTTCGACCAGAAGTCTCCATTTATGATTACCCACCGTATGGATCACGAGTCTCCAGGACTGAGAACGCACCTTGGCCCGCAATGACTCCGACGAGGATCAGCGCTCGCTCAAAACTGCAAAAAAAAACACGGCTCATTGGCAGCCCGCCACCAGCAGATCCGCTGATGCATGTGAGCATGCCACAGGTGGATGTCCGGGACAGCGCAAGTCGTGAGTGCAAAAGCTCTCGTGAACATTTGCTGACCTGCTGTCGACAACAGATAGACACAGACTTGAACCGTTCGCGCCGGTTCATTTGCTGTGTCAATCATTCATTCGAAGACACGTTTATTGATGTACTTACGTGATAATGTTGGTCCCTCATTTTTCTCTCGAGCGCTCGACTTGGAACCTTGGCCCGATTTCCAAGCATGCAAACCTGTTCCTGATCAACAGAATCAGGACGCGGTTGGCTCACTCAATTGTTTTCCTTCCCTATTCTCCAACCCGTCAACACCCGAATCGAGCACCCTCGATAGTGCATTTCCCCCCATGGCAAGTCCAGTAAGCATGCTCCCTGCGCTGTCGCCCATCAAGTCTCTATTTCTTCCGCATTGCGTCGGCGGAGCTGGGTTTCTTTTCAATTGACACTCCCTCTCCGACATCGGCTCTGCTGGATTACATGCGCCACCGTCGTTCCCGACCGTTTCGCCGGCGCCGCAGCACGATCGAGCCAGCTGTCGAATACCGCACCGCCCACCCGTAGCCGACGCCCCCACGTCAGGGTCAGTTTGGCACCCCATCGCCCGAAATCACCTTTCGAACCGGTCTGGCGTGTCGCCATATCGACCTCGTGTCGGTCTTCCGCTGTGTTTCGCTGAGTTAGTATCTTGGATCACGTATAAAACTCATTAGCTCACCGATCTTTTTAGCTTCCTCGCTTCGTCTTGCCATCTTTTCTTACGTGGCTATCAGGCAGCACATCATCACACTCCCATCGACATCACTGCATCACCGCTATTCATCGCAGACCCTCAAAGTGCCTCACGCAACAAGAGACCGGGAGCCAACGCCCGACCCCGAATCGGAGATGGCGATTGAGATGCCTCGCGGTACGTCGGGGCACACCGCCAACGAGAGACATGACGACGAAGACGACGCAGACACAGACATAGATGACGGTTCTAGCGATACATCGTCGGTACTGACGGAGATCCACTCGGATGATATCCCGTCGTACTTTGAAGAGCGCGATGAGAGGCTTTTCCTTTCAAGCTTCCATTCTCATGGTAATTACCCCTTGCCCGTCGACGCAAGAGAGCAAGAGGTGTGTTCCCTCTCCCCCCTTCCTGAATCGTCCCTCTTGATTGTCTGGTTCTTTGACGCGTGGCGCGGATGGCTGACCATCGTATGCAGAGGTTGACATGGCAGCACCGTACGCTGCATGCCCTGATCGGGGAGCACTACGTAGGCCCAGTCGATGTTGTCCTAGACACAGACCAGGACGACAGGCGGAAGAGGGTGCTGGATTTAGGTACGGGGACGGGCTGTTGGTACGTTCGATCATCCCTCGAGACTCTAGTGACACATCTTACTGACGTCTCTTTTGTAGGGCCCTAGACATGGCGCAACAGTTCCCCTCTGCCCGGTTCAATGCCATCGACATTGGTAAGGATCACTCAGTTCTTCCACGCACTCCTTTTCTGAACACATATCCATCGGTACCAGTACCTATCCAAACACGCCACCCTCCCAACAATGTGCATTTCGAAATGCACGACATCACACAAGGATTCCGCTGGGCGTCAGGCACTATGGACGTTGTCCACGCGAGGTCCATCATGCTCGCTGTGCACGACTACGGCGGCTTCCTAAGCGAGATCGCACGCGTCCTCCGGCCCGGCGGACTCTTCCTGGCGGGCGAACTCGAGCACAGTGTCAGTTTCGAGCGCGGGATCCCGCCCAGCAACGGGACACAGGGCATGGATCGCTTCTTCACCGTCGTTAACAACGTACTTGGGGAGCGTGGGTTTGTTCAGACCGGAGCGCATATCCCGGAATGGCTACACCGTACGCGCACGAGCGATGGCCGCCCGGCGTTCACGGAGATTCATGTACAGCAGTATCACGTACCCATCGGGGGCTGGCGCGCTACCAATGAGCGCGAGCGCAAGATGGGCAGGGACTGGCGGAATGCCATGGAGAGGTATGGAGACAGCGTCAAGCCCATGCTGCTCAGCGAGGCATCTATGGATGCGCACGCTGTGGACGAGCTCGTGCAGGAGTACAAGGATGACCTGAGCATGAATGGAATGTTCAGCGTATACAACGCCGTTTGGGCCATCCGCGCAAATTGAGGCTCTGGGTTGCTGTCAGGACCTAGTTCTGCCTCATCCAAGCATCCAAGCCTAGTGACGACCGCAGCATATATGCTAGTTTCTTGATTAAAACAGATTGTTATCTTGCTTTGTAGTGCTTTCGTATTGCTTTCGTTTACATGTCCTGTCGTTGCTGCTTTCGTACTATCGTTTATAAAATCCTGTCGTTACTGTGTTTGTGCTTGAGTGCGAGGGCAGGTGGCTCGGACAAACACGGAACAAACAAGGACCGGGTTGCGGTGTAAATACACTTTTCTTTGCTTCGCCCGTATAATATTAAAACACCCTCCCCTCCCCGACTCTTTCTCGTCCTCGCCATGCTCGCTGCACGCGCATCGGCCGCCCGCAACGCATCGCGCGCAGCCCGCTCATTCGCCACCGTCGTCGACGCACAGGGCGTCAAGCTCGCAGCTGCCGACAACGGCCAGCCCACCTCGGCCGTCACATTCCTCCTCAAGGCCGGCAGCAGATACGAGACCAAGCCCGGTGCCGCCCATGTCCTCAAAAACTTTGCTTTCAGGGTGCGTCTCGTGCGGAAACCAAACTGCGAGGGTGCTGACAACTTTTGGTTGGGCAGTCGGCAGGCTCGCGCTCGGCTCTTGGAACAGTTCGGGAAGCGGAGCTTTACGGAGGTGTCCTCACCTCCTCCCTCTCGCGCGAGCATATCGCGCTGACGGCTGAGTTCCTTCGTGGTGATGAGTGCGTAGCTATTTATTCGCGATTATATTCCAACTTAACGCTGGGCTTGTGTTTCCAGGCAGATCTTCGTTGACCTCCTTGCTTCCACCCTCACCTCGAGCAAGTTCCTTGGCCACGAGTTCTCGGAATACGTCGCCCCCGTCGTCGCTTCCGAGAGCACCCTCGCATCTGTCAACCCGGCTACACGTGCTATTGAGCTCGCCCACTCCCTGGCCTTCCGCAATGGCCTTGGCTCCCCCCTCTTCGCGCCTGAGCACAGCGACCTCACCGTCGATGACGTGCGCGCATACGCGGCGTCCGCCTTTGCCAAGGGCAATCTCGCCGTCGTGGGCACTGGCATCGACGCCTCTACCCTCCAGGCGCTCCTCGACAAGCACCTCTCTGGTGCTTCCGCCGGTGCTGCTGCCTCCTCACCCGCATCAAGCTATTTCGGCGGTGAGACGCGTGTCGACTCGCACAGCGGCCCGCAGACCGTGTTCATCGGCTACGGCGTCTCTGGCCAGCCCAGCCCCGCTCTCTCCGTCCTCGCCGCACACCTGAGCACGACGCCGTCCGTCAAGTGGTCCAAGGGCCTCTCGCCGCTCGCGGCTGCGCTCCCCGAGGGCGCGTCGGTGCAGACCGTCCTCTTCCCCTACTCGGACGCGACGCTCTTTGGCTTCCTCGTCCAGGGCGCCACCGGCCAGCAGGTGAAGGAGGCGGCGAAGGCGGTGACCCAGGCGCTCAAGGACGCGAAGAACGTCAAGGGCGAGGACGTGAAAAAGGCGGTTGCTAAGGCTAAGTTCTCTGCTGCCTCGGCACTGGACGCACGGGAGACCATCGTTGAGGCTGTCAGCCAGAAGGTAGATTGCGCTACAATTTGGTTGCAAGAAACACATGCTAACTCTGCTCTCCTTGTAGATCTTCTCTTCCTCCGACCTCTCCGCTGAGTCGGCCCTTTCGGCGCTCGACAAGGTCAACGAGTCTGAGCTTGCTAAGGTTCGCTCTTTTGAAAGCATCACCATTACTTTCGCTGACTCTGTTCTACAGGCTGTTTCCTCGCTTACCAGCGCAAAGCCCACTTACGTCGCCATTGGTGACATTCGCTCCCTGCCATACTCTGATGAGGTTGGCCTCTAAATCTGTAGTAGACGTAGTGATAGACGATAGATTTTCCTATCATAACTTACATCTCCGCCAATAAGAACGTTTATTGAGCTTCCTGCTTGGTCCGATATGTTAGGAGATACCTATGGTGACGGAGAGTTTCCATTTTGAGCGATTTATAGGGTACACGCTCACCCTTTCGGATTCTTGTAAGTTTAGCACCGGCTTGAAAGCCAGGATACTACGGACTGCGGCAGACGCTCCTCTGCTCTGCCCACACACAACCCACACACTATCACTGCTTAACGCCATCATTACAGACGACCCTAAGCTCCATTTGGGCAACAGCAGACTGAAGAGCGCTTGTTAGGCTGCCCTGTCTATGTCTGACATCCCCCTGCACTCCATACGACGCACGGGCAAGTCCAGGACAGGCTACGAACGGCTCAGCGACGGCGACGAGTACGACTCGCAGGACGAGCAGCAGGACCAAGCGAGCACTCCCACGCGGACACGAACAGGGCGCGGCGACGGTAGTGCACAGCTCGGACCCGGAGGAAACGGAATGCACGCAGTACCGAAGGCGACGGCTGCTGCGAACGCGCGGCGGAACTTTGTGTCGATGCGGAGCAAGGGGAAGCAGAGGGAGCAGTATAGTGACGATCCGGAGGAGGAGGAGACGTTGCTTGGGCGCGACGCGCGAGGTGGAGATGGGGATGGGGAGGCGGAGGCGATGATGGAGGGGCTTGGAGAGGGGTCTGGGGACGGGGAGGCGCAGAAGCGGGCGAGGTCGCATTCGAGGGTGAGTCTGCTTCTACCCAGCTTAGAGAATGCTGACGAGCGAATTCGGTCCAGGTGTCGAGCAGATCAAAGAGCGGCAAAGATGACAAGTCGCGCACGATTCCCTTTCGGCCACCAGGTGAGGACGTATCGTGTCCTGAAATGACGAAGGATGCATTGAACGCATAACTGTACAGATAAACTCAAGAAGAGCTTTCCGCCGAACACTGTACGGAACCAGAAGTACAACATCTTCACGTTCGTGCCCATTGTGCTATACGAGCAGTTCAAGTTCTTCTTCAACCTCTACTTCCTCCTCGTCGCCCTCTCCCAGTTTGTCCCCGCCCTCAAGATTGGTACGGCTGCACGAACTCTCATCTTGAACCCCACACGTACTCAATGGCTCTCTTGACCTACAGGTTTCATCTTCACCTACGTCGCCCCCCTCGCCTTTGTCCTCTGCGTCACCATGGGCAAAGAAGCATACGACGACTACAAGCGCAACCTCCGCGACCGCGAGGCCAACTCCCAAAAGTACCTCATCCTCACCCGGCCAGACCACGGCGCCGCCGCGGCTGCTCGCGACGACGACGACCCCGAGTCCTCGGCGCTCGGTGATGTCGACGCGGGCCCGCACACGCGCATGGTGCCCTCGTCCGCGCTCCGCGTCGGGGATCTGGTCGTGCTCGAGAAGAACCAGCGCGTGCCGGCGGACATGGTGCTCCTGCGCACGTCGGACAGCTCGGGGACGTGTTTCATCCGCACGGATCAGCTGGACGGTGAGACGGACTGGAAGCTGAGGGTCGCGGTGCCGGCGTCGCAGAAGTTGCCGTCGGATAGGGACTTGTTGTCGCTCGACGCTGAGATATATGGTGCGTTTTTCTTTGCTTTCGTCCAGGCGCTTTGGTGCTGATGGGTTCCTTGATCACAGCGGACGCGCCCATCAAGGACATTAACGTATTTGTTGGCACTTTTACGATTAATCACCCACCCCACTCCAACGACCTCTCCCACGAAGTACCGATGGTTTCGGTTCCGGCCGTCGCGCCCCTCAGCGCGGAGAACGTCCTCTGGTCCAACACCGTTCTCGCCGCTGGCCAAGCCATTGGTTTTGTAATCTATACCGGCTCGGAGACGCGTGCAGTAATGAACACAAGTCATCCGGAGACAAAGGTCGGGCTGCTTGACATCGAGATCAACAGGCTTGCCAAGGTGTGTTCTTCGCGTCCTGACCAGCGATGAATGGACCTTGACACCGCGCCAGATTCTGTGTGCCGTCACGTTTGCACTTTCGTTATTGCTCGTCGCGCTCAACGGTTTCCGCGGGCTGTGGTACATCTACGTATTCCGGTTCCTTATTCTGTTTTCGTCCATCATCCCGATCAGGTGCGTGTGCGCATCCTCCTCCGTGTCACAGTATATTTGACTAGGGGTTCCTTAGCTTGCGTGTGAATCTTGACATGGGCAAGACTCTGTATGCGCACCAGATCATGAATGATGACGAGATCCCGGGAACGATTGTGCGCACGAGTACTCTGCCCGAAGAGCTCGGCCGTCTCGAATATTTGCTCAGCGATAAGACGGGAACGCTCACCCAGAATGGTGCGTTGATTCATGGGGTGGGCGTTGGTCTGGGCTAACTTTGTTGATAGAGATGGAGATGAAGAAGTTGCATATGGGCACTATGTCGTATGGGTTTGACTCGATGGACGAAGTTGCACACCAGCTCGCTGTTGCTTTTGGCGCTGAGAACAGTGAGTCTGCCGTTGGCGAGGCAGTTCGTTCATTGCTAATCATTCTTAGCGCACAACAAGCACGGATCGCTCGCAACTGGAGCACAGCTTGCGACGCGCGGTCGACGCGACATGACCACTCGTTTACATGACGTCGTCCTCAGCTTGGCTCTCTGTCACAATGTGCGCACCCTTGCCAGTCAACCTCTCATCGCACATTGGAACTGATATGTATACGTCTCTAGGTTACCCCAGTCTTTGGCGACGACGGCGCGATCACGTACCAGGCCTCCTCGCCAGATGAAGTCGCCATCGTGAAATGGACCGAATCCGTCGGACTCACCCTCGTCGCGCGCGACCGGACGAGCATCGAACTGCAGACGCCCTCCGGCGCGCGCATCGCGTTCGACATCCTCGACGTCTTCCCGTTCACGTCCGAGAGCAAGCGCATGGGCATCGTCGTGCGCGACACGTCCTCGGGCGAGATCAGCTTCCTCCAGAAGGGCGCGGACGTCGTCATGGCGAAGATCGTGCAGCGCAACGACTGGCTCGAGGAGGAGACGGGCAACATGGCGCGCGAGGGCCTGCGCACGCTCGTCGTTGCGCGCAAGCGCGTCAGCGCGGCGCAGTATGAGGCGTTCCGCGCCGCGCACCATGCCGCGAGCATTCGGCTGGAGGGCCGCAATGAGGCGATGGCGCAGGCTGTTTTGGAGCATCTGGAGCATGATCTTGAGTTGCTGGGTCTGACGGGCGTCGAGGATAAGCTGCAGGACGATGTGAAGGCGACACTGGAGCTGCTTCGGAATGCGGGCATCAAGATTTGGATGTTGACTGGAGATAAGATCGAGACGGCGAGGTGTATCGCCATCTCGACGAAGCTCGTCGCAAGGAATCAGTATATCCATGAGGTCGCCAAATGTATGCGCGCTATTTCTATGCATTTTTCGTGTTTGCTAACATGTACTTTTTCCAGTAAAGACCGCGGACCAGGCCAGAGACGAACTCGAGTTTTTGCAGTCCAAGCTTGACTGCTGTTTGGTTATCGATGGTGATTCGTTACAGGTAAGCTCCTTCATTGACTCGGCTGGAATGTAGCCGACTAACGCACGATCCGCTTAAGCTCTGCTTGGATTTGTACAAGAACGAGTTCATCGAGATCACAACAAAGCTATCGGCAGTTGTCGCCTGCCGCTGTTCGCCAACGCAGAAAGCTGATGTTGCCCGTCTGATTCGGCACCACACGAAGAAGCGCGTCTGCTGTATTGGTGACGGTGGCAACGATGTGAGCATGATTCAAGCTGCTGACGTCGGTACGTGAATGTTTTCCGTTGTTCCACCTCCTACTAATCTCGCTACCACAGGCGTCGGTATCGTTGGCAAGGAAGGTAAACAAGCATCGCTCGCCGCCGACTTCTCCGTCACGCAGTTCAGCTACCTAACTAAGCTGCTCATGTGGCATGGGCGGAACTCGTACCGACGCTCGGCCAAGCTCGCGCAGTTCGTCATCCACCGCGGTCTGATCATCTCGGTGATGCAAGCCGTGTTCAGCGCCATCTTCTATTTTGCACCGATCGCGCTGTACCAGGGCTGGCTACTGATGGGCTACGCGACGCTCTACACGATGGCGCCCGTGTTCTCGCTCGTGCTTGATCGGGACGTGAACGAGGACCTGGCGCTGTTGTATCCGGAGCTGTACAAGGAGCTGACCAAGGTCCGTCTTCGTTTGCTCAAACTCTCCGTTCAGTGAAGCGTATGCTAACGCGGAAACCTAGGGTCGAGCACTGTCATACAAAACCTTCTTCGAGTGGGTGATGGTCAGTCTCTATCAAGGTAAGTCTCGTTCTCCTATGACGTGAAAACACCCCTGACCCGGCGTCGTTAGGCGCTGCGATTATGATCATGTCGCTCGTGTTGTTTGAGACCGAGTTCCTGAACATCGTCTCTATCTCGTTCACCGCACTCATCATCAATGAGCTCATCATGGTCGCGCTTGAGATCACCACGTGGTAAAACACCCTCTTCTTCTCCCTTGGAGTTGCCTTCTAAATTGAATAAAACTCACGCAGGCACGTATACATGGTGATATCCGAAGTCGCCACACTGGCCATCTACATGATCAGCATGGCGTTCCTTCCGGAGTACTTTGGTGAGTGGTCGAAAGACTCTATCTTTGTCTAATGCAACGGTATCTGATGGTGGATGCAATCACAATAGATCTAGACTTCGTCATCTCCACCCGTTTCGCCTGGAAAGTCGCTGTGATGGTGGCCATCAGCGCCTTACCCCTCTGGATCATCAAAATCGTCCGGAGCAGACTAGCACCCGCCGCGTCGAGCAAGCTCCTATAGATGCAGATGCCTTTTCAGGTGTTATGACGATGACGATGGCAACGATACCTGGCTAACTTATCACGGCTTATCACGTTCATGGAATATTTTCACATCTTTATAATGTATTTCACTTTTGTCATCGCGACGTCAAAAACTGTCCATCCCTCTGTCTGCCTGGGTCTGCGTGACTAAAGTCTGCCTGTGGAATGGAAGCACAAAATGAAGCAGCAGCAGAAGGTGAAGAAGAACAGTCGAAACGGAGAAGTGTAACAAATAGGCGGTACAGGTGAGAGTGTAACAACGCAGACAAAAATGAAAGCAGAGCCTAGTGCTCGTACGTACAAACACCAAAGTAGCAGAGCGAGTCAAGGGTCGCAAAGGCTAGGGCAACTAGGTAAAAGATAGGAAAGGGTAGAGTAAGCAACAATACCAACTCATCGCTCCCTCCTACAAGCAAGGAGCAATACAAGCTAATTGCCAGAGTGCGGCGGTGACGACGGGTCGACATGGTTCGACGCCGCGAACGGGTGATGCGAGAAGAACGCAGGCGGCGACTGCCGCCACTCCGTCGGGCCCGGACCATGCCCCGCACCCCAGAGCGCGTTGCCCCTCGGCGAGCCGAAGGCCATCCCTGGCGGGCCCGGTGGCCCTGGGGGACCTCCGATAGGTCCGCCAGGCGCAGACGGTGCGCCCCACGGCGCACGGCTGCCATCGCCTCCACCCACGCCTCCACCGACACCCATGCCACCGCCAATCGGCCGACTGGGCGACGTCGCCGCGCTCGAGGCGGCGCCCCAGCTCTGCCCGACCACACCAGGGATAACACGCCTGCTACCAGGCGCGGGGACAACCTCGTCGTCGTCCGCTGCGAGCGCGCTACTGCCCAGCACGCCCACCTTGGGGCTGGGCGAGCGGCGGCTGGGCGAGCCAGGCCCCGAGCTGGAGCTGGAGCGGAGCATCGAAGGGGAGCCAACGCCGCCCATGTCCACGTTTACGCTTGCATTTGTGCTTGAGTTCGAATTCGCAACCGCGTTGCTGGGGCGCGCGATGGGCGCGGGAGGTGCGATTGGAGCTGGGCGGCCGATCGGTCGAGGCGCGGCGCTGGCGGGAGAAATCTCGTTCAGGGACGCGCGGCGGGCTGCACCGGTCGCAAGGATGGGCGAGCCTATCGGCCCGGGACCGGGGCCTTTACCAGGAGGGCCAATGGGCGTTGGGGTCGAGGGCATGCGGTTGAAGGCCTGGTCGAATGGCGGGCTGGCAGCGAAGCCGCGGGGCAGGTTCGTGGCGATAGGAGGCGGGCCTTGCTGCATGGAAGGACCCGGTCCGAACACGCCGAAGGAGGGAGGCTGGGGAGGAGCAAAGGGCATGCGGGATGACATGGCGTTGTGGGGAGGCATCATACCTCCACCAACGGCAAACATGGGGGAAGGAGGCGGAGGACCAGCGTTGAAGGGCGGGCCGACAGGAGCAACAGGGGTGGCAGGCGCAGATGCGCCCGGACCAGACCTCTGAGACTGCTGAGGCTGGGGTTGCTGTAGCTGCTGTGGCTGCTGCGATTGCGGTGGTTGCTGCTGCTGTGGTGACGGCTGTGACTGCGACTGCTGACGTGGCGGCTGAACAGGCTGCACTGGGGGAGGCTTGTTGAGGATCTTCTTCGACCCATTGGACACAGACCGCTGCGAGGATCCAGAGGCAGTTGGGTGCCGTGGAGAAGTGGGAGCACGGACAGCGTTCTTGGCCGCAGCCCGCTGTTGCTGTTGCTGCTGCTCACGCTGCTGCTGAGCCAGACGCTCCTTCTCAGCCTTCTCCTCCTTCTCCTTTGCTAGCCGCTTCTCGCGTTCGCGTTCCTCCCGCTCTTGCTGTTCCTTACGAGCAGCCTCGCGAGCAGCAGCAGCCTTGGCCTCCCTCTCCTCCTTCGCCTTGCGCTCGCGCTCCTCCTTCTCGCGTCGTTCCTGCTTCGCCTTCTCCTCCTTCTCCTTCTTCTTGCGTTCTCGCTCAGCCTCCCGCTCACGCTCCTCGGCTTGTCGCTTGCGTCGCTCTTCCTCCTTGCGCGCCTTCTCCTCCTCTTGGGCCTTGCGCTGAACCTCGCGACGGACGCGGTCCTCCTCGCGCTTTCTGCGTTGCTCCTCCTCCAATGCTGCCTGCTTCGCCTTCAGCTCGGCTTCCTCAGCTGCCTTTTCGGCTGCCTTAGCCGCACGTTCCTCTTCTCTGGCCTGTTTCTGCTGTCTGTGCGTAAAATATGACGTCAGTATCTTCTAGTTTTAGCTGCACATGCAGTAAACCCACATCTTCTTCGCCTTCTTCTTCTGGTTCTGGTTCTGTTTCTTGGCCTCCCGCTCCTTGGACATCTTGTCCTCATCCTCGAGCTCGCGCAACAGCTGCTGCTGGCGCTCCTGGGCGACCCTCTCTCTGTACGCCTGGAGCACCCGCTGCTCGAACATCCGCGCGGCAAATATCGAGAACATCCGCTTGCCCTCCTCCATCTTCTGCTCCTCTGTCATCGCCTGCGAACCGTTAAAGGGGCGAACCACGGGCAACGGTAGTGGGTTTAGCGACATACCTCTTCTTCCTCATCATCTTCATCCTCCTCCTCATCTTCCTCGTCTTCCTCGTCCTCCTCAGGCTCCTCTTCATCCTCCTCTTCGCTGTCCTCCTCGATGTCAGCCGCGGCCTCCTCTTCACGCTGCATCCGTCGCTCCGCCAGCTGCTCCATCATCTCGAGGAACTTCTGCCCATCATTCTTCAAGAGATCGTCGGCGACAGTCAGTATGTTACCTGCACCTAGACCGGTAAGCCGAAGCAGAACATGGGGAGAGAACAGAAAAGCGTGCAACACTTGCCGGTCACAGTGAGACTGCTGCCAAGGTTGAAGAAGCCATCTCGGCCGTTCGCCTTCGCCCCGTTGGCCTGCCTGCGGCCCCCGCGGGCAGCCGCCGCACCGCGCCGGGGCTTCAGCTCGTCCTCCTCCTCATCCACAGCATCCTCCTCCTCCTCCTCTTCTTCCTCTTCCTCCTCCTCCTCATACTCCTCTTCATCATCATACTCCTCCTCATCCCCCTCGTCATCATCGAACTCGCTCTCCTGCTGCGGCACCTTGGGCGGCCTGCGACCGTTGACGAGCGCCGCCGGATTGGTCGCATTCGTCGTCGCGGTCGTCGTGGTCGTCCGCCCGTTCGGCCCCCGCGGCGGCGGATGATGCGACGGCTGCTTGCCGCCGCCGCCACCACCACCACCGCCACCTCCGTGCGGATGTCCGATGACAGCGCCATTTTTGTCGAGCTCGACGCTCCCGGGGAACGGCCCTGGACCCGGCGGTGGGGGGATGGTGCCACCGGATGATACGTAGCGCTGCTGGTAGTTCGCGTACTGTTCTAGCTCCTCGTAATAAGCATCATACAGTACCTCAAGTTCTTCTTCGATCGCATGTCTGAAAGCGGTCCGTTGATGACGTGGTCGGATCGGCGGCGGCGGGTGTATGATAGGACAGGGATCGGGATCGCAGGGGCACGTTCCGGCGGGTCACGGGGGCACGGGCGGACGAGGCGCGAGAGCACATCCGAAGGGCGATCATCGAGACATGGTCATGGAAAAAAGGGAGAAAACAGGGAGAGATGGTCGCGTCAGTGATTTTTTTCGGTGGGCGCGGGAGATATGGAAGAGGAGGACGGACCGCTTCCTGCCGCAGACGGCGCAGCTGCAGCTGTGCTTTTGCTGCTCCTTCATCTTCTTCAGCACGGTGTCCTTCTCGATCTTGACGAGCGCGCGCCGGTCGTCCTCGCCAAGGCCGAGCCAGAACTCCTTGATCCGTTCGCGCTCCTCTGTCGTGCTCGTGCTCCAGATCTTGGAGTTGCTCTGCGTGCCCTTTGTGCTCCCGGCTGATGCGGGTGGGCGTGATTTGTGAGGGACGGATGCATTGGACGATGGTGGCGATGGATGATGATGTGAATGATTATGGCCATAGGCGTGAGCAGGCATCGGGGCCTTGGATGCGGCGCGTGCGGTCCTGGGTGGCTGCTGGCCGTTGGCGTTGGTTGCTGCCGGTGGTGTCGGATTCTGCTGGGCATAGGACATGGGCTGTTTGCCCGCTGCACGCGAGGATGGCGGTGGAGGCTGGGGATGGGCCTGAGCGTTTTCTTTAGGCTGTGTCCTTGCATTTGCCATATTGTTGGCGTTGGCGGGAGCGTTGGCGGTGGGAGGAGGACGCTTTGTCAAATCGCCCGTCCCCGTGGGATGGGTGGCTCCCGTTTCGGCCTCCGGCTCCGGTATCGGCGCTGTTCGCTGTCCATTTCTGGCAGGTGCCGTGCTCGGCAACACCGGAGTCACCGGAGAAACCGGCGTGCCACCCGCCCCTCCGCCCGCCCCTACCGCCGTGGCGGCGGCGGCAACGGCAGCAGCGGCAGCAGCGGCCTCGCGCTTCCTGTCTTTCTTCTTTTTCTTTTTACCAATCCCCTCCCCCGGCGGCGACAGAGGCACCCCGGCCCCGACGCCCGCCGTCCCGTTCGGCGACTTATTACTACCTAACCCCTGCGACGGCACCGGAACACCCATAGGCGGCGGCGACCCCCGCGCAATCGACTCCCCGTAGCTTAGCACCACCTGCGCCACCGCATCCTGCAGCGATCCCGCCAACGACGCCGGATACGACACAGACCCATGGTGCGGCGGGCGCGCCCCGTGCTGCCGCCCGTCGTCCTCCAGCCGTTCATCGTCATACACCCCGTCCACTAGCTCCTCCTCCGTAAAATACTCATCCTCGGGATACTCAGCCTCCTCCCCGCCGTACTCGTCCAGCATCACCACGTTCGTCGGCGGCAACGGCCCACGAGGGGGATGTCCCGGCGGGGGAGGAGTCGTCCCTAACGCCGCCGCCGCCGCCTGCTCGACCGAGAGGGTGAACGCCGGGTCCGAGAAGATCGAGGGATCAAATGGGAGAGGAGGATATGCACCCGGTGGGTAGCCGGGCACACCCTTGCCGCCGTGCGTGCCGTTCTTGAGCAGCGCGTCCGACTGGACCATCTGCTGTGCGATGTTGTACATAGTCTGCGCCTGCACGAGATACGCAGTGACGAGATGTGCGTGATTATAGTAGTCAGGGGTCAATATAAAAGGCAGATAGCGATGACAACGACGACGTACGAAGTTCTTGATATGCGGCGGAAACGACGCCCAGTACTCATCATCCGTCACCCCCACCCCATGACCCGCCACTCCCTTCGCCGTACTCGGCGGGGGCGGCAGCGGCCCCTGGACACGGGCACCCGCTGTCCGCCCATGCGTTCCACTGACATTGACATGATGGTGATGGTGATGATGCGAATGCTGGATCTCGATGTTGCGGTACAGATCATTCGCCGTCGCCAGCAGCTCGTTCTGCATCTGGCTCGCCGGATTGTTGTGCCCCGAGCGCGCAGCCGCCGCCGCCGAGGCAGACAGGTGCGCAGTCGTGGTGATATGCACAGACTCGAGCGTCGGCGAGAGCCGCGAACCGGGTGACGTCGCGTCCTCGGGGTAGCGCAGGTCCAGCTCGCTCTCCGACTCCTCGACCTCGAGGTGCTCGTGTTCTCCATCGCCATCGTCAAAGTCAAAGTCGCCGTGTGTATGCGAGGGATGCGATGCGGGGCTGTGGTCCACCTGCTTTCCCTTGCCCTTCTTCCTCTTGTTCTTCTTCGCTGATGCTGCCGTTGTGGAGGTTGCAGGGATAGTAGGGGCAGGAGTAGTAGGGGTTGCGGGCACAGGGATGGACGGGGGTGGAGAACGTGCCTTCTGTGCTGCGTCCGCACGCGCTGCTTGCCTCGTCTTTGTTTTTCCTGCTGCCATCTATCAGGTCGTGCACGTGGGATCAGGCCAGCAGCGAGTGATGGTGGTGTGAGTCTGTTGACGGCAAGTATAGCAATACTTGTAACTTGCGAGGAATTGCTGGTGCGCAAGGGGCTCTTTTGAGGAATCCGATGCGAAAGGGGCTGTCGTGCTGCTAGTGCGGTGCGTGCAGGTGCAGCGATCCGAGACTAGAAGGAAGTGAGAGGACCCGGTCGTGTCTCTACGGTGTTGGTCGTATGTATGCGATGTGTTGGTGAGACAAGAGCCTGGTCCTTGTCGAGGTCGAACGCAACGATGTGCCGAAATCCAGATCAGGACCACCAACCGTCTTGAAATGGTCTTCGGCAAACCCCGGCCCTCCCTACCCCGCACTTTGACTCCGGCTAAAACGCAATCTACTCTTCTTGAACTTCCTCCGACTGGCCTGCCCTCCCGTTGACGCTGGGGACATGTCGGACACGGTGCAGCCCCTCTTGGATGTCGACGGACAAAAAACCGTGTCTCTTATCGGGTCCGTTGTCTCTTCTTGTGCCGAAACCTTGCGACATCAGGAAACCTTGCTTTCACGCGCCGACACCTGGGGCCTTGCAAACTGAAGAAGGTAACTCCCTCACGCATATGGGCGCTTCTTAACTTTCAAGTGGCTCAAGTTTGTAAAGCCTCAATATATGCGCCGTCATATCTCGTAATTCCCATTTACTTCGCAATGGCCCTTGAATGGCCCCCGTCACGGTAAACAAAAGACATCACCTCATGCGCTGTCAGCATGCATTAAAGCAGTATCACACAAAACAGCGATCCTTTTGGACTTTGTGATAAGTCGGCTGCCTCATTGGACCGTTTGTCTAAACATTCACGTTTCACACTACGTGGATCCTCGCTGTTGATGCAGATGCTCCACGCGGGAGCTTCTGTGCTGTTGTCATTGTGTTTCACCTTCACTCATAGCTATTCGGCCAAGGTCGATCTCAAATACGAGTACAGCACTGTGAGTTTAAGTACAGCCCTTCAACATTCTTCGTCAAGGATTCCTTGGATTGCAATGAAGGTGTTGACCAATTCACGGTACTATCTTAAGTACATGGATCTGAATTTCTCATTCGCGCTATCCAACTCGAGCCACACTAATTTCTCACGGAATAAGGTCATTTGTCGAGGGACGTTCCGCTTTGTGACTAGGTCTTCATCGCGGAAAACCCTTGGTGGAATAATAATGAGGATCGTATGCCATTCCTGTCTCATCTGTTTGCGATGCTCACCATACTCCACTTGTCGGGGACTTGTCATTGGCGGAACGAGAATCCCCGTTGATTGTTCACAACAGAATGGTGCTATACTCGTTATGTACGAGCGTTCATCATTTTGCCTTGTGAATCCCTGAGCGTTCCGGCGATGCTGATCAACATCCTTACGTATAAAAGAGTCTCTGTCTTGCCACGTCTCTAGTTTTCCTCCGGCTGCACACCCTCAAACATGTCGACAGCCTCAAGTGGCGACCAACTGCTCGAAGCAGAGCTTAAAGCTGAGCTGGCCCAAAACTACGCTATAGGTGAGCGCTTACTAGAAGCGACTGAAGCGCACTTCGGCCTAGCTGACTGCTTGAATAGTCGCAATGACTGCGTTGGTTGTCTACGATTATTGTGAGTAACAAGTTAGTGGTTGGCATGTTTGCATCATGCATTGATCTACGTCTGTTCTTAGTGCTAAGCCTTGGCTCGGAAGTATGTAAACTATCATCTAACGGCCAGTGGGGCAAAAGTACTGACCCATTCACCTAGATCAAATTCGTATGGGTAAGAACTTGACTTACTACCCCTTTCTCTTTTGCTATAGCTCAAGTTATCGACGTTGATGCTAGGCAAGGAAGCTCTCGTTTATGAGTATCATATATGGCGTGGTTGGTAATTGACTCGGATAAGCTGGCTTATTTCTCATTATTTCTCAAGTGCGATTTTACGTAGCTGCGGTACCTCGGCTTTATATGGATAATGTACGTATACAGAAGCGTATCCACTCTAGTAAACGTGTTTACACTAACGTCCATATGCAGGTCTCTTCTGGGTAAGTACGAGCAATCGATAAGAATGAGTAATTGTAACTCACTCGGGCAAGTTGGCGGTCTGAACGTCCCACTTTCAAATGAGGTATGTTCTTACGAACAAAGTCACAGACTTGGCTTGATATCACCAACTCGAATATTGACAGATGTAAGAGCTGCTTATTATTTATTGTATCAAAGTCTTACACATCAACTTCTCTACTCAGATGTGTGTCCAGGACTAGCCGTTGTATTAAGCACCGCTAACCACATACCTCAGGCTTCCTAATGGCCACAATCAACAACGTCGCTTCAATTATACTGCTTCTAGTCTTGCAAGGAAAGGAAACCATGATATTAAAGTGTAGATGAGGATGTTAACGTTTTAAAACAGGTATCATGTCTGTACGGGTGTACATGTTATACAAAAAGTCGAAGAAAATCCTACTAGTGGTCTCTGCATGCTTCGTAACTTCCCAGGTATCTTCTGTTGCTTCGGCAATTTTTGTCCTTGTGATTGGACCTTCTCAAGAGAGTAAGCCATATTCTAAGATCTATATCATGTGCGATACTCACATCCGTAGTTGAGATTAACATACTAGGATCCAATACTTGTGTGATGTTGATCCCGCAAAGCTTATACTGGGCAGTTTCACTCGAGTCTGCAGCTTTGACGGGTCTTGAGCTGCTCCTCTGCATAGCTGTGCTTATATACATAGCAAAACACGTCACTCTTACCGACCGGAGGTCCCCAAAGCTCTTGTTGGGGAAAATAATGGCGATCATCATCAGGGACAACCTGATTTATTTCGTCGTGTAAGTGGAGTAGTACATCCATTATGTTTCCTCCGGGACTCACTACGAAATCCTCAGTGCATTCTCATCTCTCCTAATCGGTGTTATGCAACTAATCCCAACGCTTGGAACAACGGTAAGTGCTGTGCTGGAGGTCAAGTCCATTATTCATCCTGTGCGCTCAACATTACAATTGGTACTTCAAGTCACCCGCGTTCTTGATTTTTGAGGATGTGCTATCAGTAATACTGCATTCCATGGTTGGACCGTGGATGATGCTGAGCCTTCACAGGCATGCAATAGATGACACAGGCAGTCGACCAGAAAACTCGGAAGGGACATCCATCCGGTTCAACAATACTGAGGAGCAGACAGCAGAGGAAACTAGGGTACAGCGCGATGCTGAGATAGTATGAATATGGAAAGATCCCAGTTTACCATACAACTGTTATTATTGCCGCTGCGCTGATTTTATAGTAGTACGCGCTATTCTGAATCGTGAGAGTTACTAGTCACTGACCAGATAGGTTTATTTATTACGGTCCCGACGTTTTTGTCTGTTGTGGTAGCTGTCCACGGTATTAATACTGTACCTACACGACCGTAGGTTCGTCACGCCTCACGCTTGACCCGGAAATTGAACTTACGACATAGTTCGTCACCTATCACACAGTACTTTGAACCTCAAAGTGTGACAGAAAAAACCTAAGCTGATATTTAGACGTAGGACATTCATCTACAATAGCTAGTTTTGTCTGTACTCCTTGTAGCGTAAAATTTGAGACTCTGAGACGCTTACCACGACTGTATTCAGCCGGAGATGGGATGTCGAGCTCCTCAGGCTCCAAAGAATCGGCCAGACCGGTCGCAGGAGCTCGAGACGCCTGGGGATCAGCCCAACAAGCAAGAAGCTCAATGGTTCGAAAGCAGTGTCCGCATGTCCTTCATCTATTTCCAAGGAAGAGCCCTCTTCGCCTTCATTACCCTCGAGTAATGGGGCTTTACAGGTTGTTTTTGGGGTATCCCCGATGCCAGCATCCCCGGACATCTTCTCCAAGTCTCAAGGCACTCGATACGTTCGCTTGAGTCCACGAAGGGCCCTGTGTGCTTCAGAGCTTCTGAAGCTTTCGAAACTGAGATCAAACCGCCAGGGCTTTCGCATTTCAAAAATGCCTTGGAACAAATCAGAAAATTGCAGATAAATCATAGAAAGCAAAAACACGTACCGATTTCACTAACTCACTAACTTAGAGTTGTTGACATCGTAATAGGCTTGAAAAAACCAGCCCACTAATCCATCATGAAGCGTCTTGATTCCTCAATTTCAACAACGAGACACTGATGCTGAAGGGAAAATAAAAGTGGTCTGATTCTGAAAAACACGACAGGTCGAATTCAATGTGTCTCGAAGAAAGAGCCGATGAAAAAGCGAACTTACTGAGTGTTGGCTTGCCATCGATAGGGTCAAGCAAAGGTTGCCGCTGAGAACTCTGAAACAAATCAAAGATAAAAACTCGTCGCTGATCAATGTGTTGAGCACGCCTGAAGGCTAAATTAGACTTATCAATGCCATGGTAATGGTGTACCTGACAGCATCTCCTGGAGAATGTATTGCGTCACGCCGACGAGGATACAACATCTTAGTTCAATGTCACACGTTCGCCGGAGGCTTGAACCTCCGTCCTTTCGGAACTTATTCTAGTTGCATGTCACGCAAAAATCCATTGAACCTACGGTCGTGTAGGTACAGTATTTTGGAGCACACACGCAAATACTCGACATACGCAAGACGTTGCTCATTATAATATGTACGAGTTTCATGCTACCAGAAACTCAAATAGCCGCGGGGAATCGGATATTGTCGCACCCAAACAAGGTTTGATTAGAAGACTTTTGGATAATGCGTCTATCTTCACTACTCGGAAAACCAGCTATGATAATCTACAGTAAAGTAATCTTAGCACCTCTCAGAGGATTTACAGCTCCAAAGACGCTTACACATTAAGTCTTGGTAGAGTAGCGTCCCTAGCGTGGGCGAATCATAGTCAGTTCTCTGCGCTTGGGTGGCACACTGCGGCGATGCCGCTATGTTTATGTGTGACGCTTCATAGTTCAGACGTTCCTCTATCAACGGCTGGCCCTCCTATCGCCACTACCAAGCGTGCTGTCGTTGACTTCTCTGGCGAGCGGAGACGCTGGTTGAAACCTGACATTACGAGCACCTGTAATGGATAGAGGCTCAGAATCTAGGATCTCCGATGCGCTTGTCATGTTGTGAATGGCGCTAAGAAGTGTACATTGCGTCTTGATTACCAATGTTGAAATGCGTGCTGGATATGGCTGTACATGGAGTCGGCGAGGGCGTCCCCGCGATATTCGGAACACGCTTAAGCCTCCCCTAAGCCCGGAGGCGATAAGATTAGATGTCGCGTCGCGTCCCTCATCCCGCCAAAGTCTTGTCTTCCACTCCCCGAGTCGACCATGTCATCTTCATCGGGAACACCTAACGCTTCCGGTGAGCTGCAAGGTCTGGACCTAGCTCAGCAGAAATTTGGTCCTTTGCTTTCCCCTGTCGCTGCAACACCGAGGGCTTGGACCCGATACGCTCTTAGCCGGGAGCGAACAGTCCAGGTCTATAACCACAGGACCGTCATCAATATCAAGCCTGGGAAAGAGGACGAGGAAGAAGATAAGCTGGAAACCCTCCTTTTCCGCGGAAACGAATCGGGGATCATCCGGAGGAAGATTTCTGCGCGCGTCGAAGAATTGGAGCGGGAGATGAAGTTACCTCTTGGAACTTTCGTGACGTGTATTTCCATGCTCAACTGCTATGTCTTGCTCGAGGACTTTCAGGATGTGAGTTTAGTCGCATGCTCTCCGTATATATGCGTCTCGTCCTATATGCTAACGGTACGAAACTGTCCCCTAGCCTCGCGACTGTAACATCATCGCGCGCATATACAGCCCAAGCACGCCGGCGTGCATTGATGTCAGCTTCCGTCACCACTTCCGCGCCCGTGCCTTTGGTCATGAATGGAACTATTCTTTGGGGTATAAAATCCACCGTCGACCCGCACCGGAAGCCCCAGACGGGAAAGGGATCATCAGGGACCTAAAAGAGAACAACTATCACCACACGAAGGACGGATGGAGGACAATTAGCACGGGCTATTACGACGAGAAGAACGTCGAGCGTGGAGAAGTCTATCTGGGGCACGAAGACGTCTTCGACATCTGTGACTTGCTCCTCGGTCCGATTGACGAGCCTGACCAGGACGCACCCGAGGACGAGAAGATAGCATTCCGGCGCAGGCTCGTGTGGTGCGTCCGATTGCTCATGGCCTCCGTTGGTATCGGGTACAAGATGGCATGCGTCGACTCAGAGGAGGACGACGGTGTCAGCACAGATATGAGATGGTTGGTCGAAAACTATGGCAACTGGTTCGCACGGGGTATCAGGAAGGCTTGTGGTTTTGAGCTTACTCGGGACGCGGAGGAAGCGCAGCAGTTCCGGGAATACCAGAAGGAGCAGGAAGAAGAAGCTCGAAGTGGAGGCGGTTTCGACGATGAAGATATGCCTGATTTCTTTGCTCCGGGCTTTGGTGCTGCTTTGCTGGCGCAGTTGGCAATGAACGCCAACTTGCAGCGCGATGCAGGAGGGGTCGACTGAGGTTTCTCAGTAAAATCGTATGCTTGGTCTCATTGTGAATTACGACCTTGTAGCTTATAGTAACTGCGAATATCTGCACGCTTTTTGCCCAATCACACTAAACAGTAAAAGCAGCTTGATGTCTTTAAAAACGTTTAACAAAGCTATGTAGAGCATATTGTAAACCCCGAAAACAATGTACGCATATTTACGGGTTGAATTTATGCTCTTTTGAACAGTCTATTCTGCCCCACATTAGTAACTCGACCATCCGTGGGTAGCGAGATGTCGAGCAGTTGGCAGGGTCCGATATTCACGATTTTCCTCTCACCCGCACGCAGTAGGAAGCGCTCGTTAGTAACACTGTATACCTGGGTTAGCTTCCAGTGTGCGAGACTTATCGACGAGACTTACCGAGCCAGCGAAGAGACGCGTGTCTGCCTGGGTCTCGTAACAGCCTCCCTCAAGGTCATTCACCTTAATGACGTCGAAGCGACCCTCGCTCGCGTTCCAGTGGAAAATGCGCTTGACACCCGACCAGTAGCACCACTTCACGCAGCGCCAGCATGGCCTCGCGGAGCCCAGTCCCTGCTTGACGACGCGTGCGACGTAGATGTCCGCGCCATTGACCCTGGAATCCCTCCGGCGGGCGCTCCGTTCACGCTCCGCTCGGTGAAGTTCCGAAGCGTTTCTATCACGCTGGTTTCCGTTTCGCTCATAAAACGCACGACGGCGTGATCGCGAGCTGGGCGGCGACTTGCTGTGTACGCGCTTTCGCTTTCGCTTCTGTCGGCTGTGGGTGTGTTGTTCCGCGCATCCGTCGTTGTCGTTCTTGTTGCAGGCCTCGTTCATCCAGGGCTTGAACCTGCTGCTTGAACGAGGGTGACATGCCCGTGCAGCTATAGATTGCGTGCATCTCCGCATGCATGGACACGGGCTTGCGGTGCCCGTGCGTGTCGATGTCGATGCCGTCGTAGTGTGTGCGATGATGGTTGTGGCCTGAGGAGATGATCTTGCCGCCCTTGACGAGTACAGCGCCGAGGGTATAGGTCATCGACGACTGGTTGATCCAACCGGTAAGATCCGGGTGAGCGTGAGCAAATGGATGGTGATGTGTCTGACGCACCTTGGATGCCGCCTGTATGCACTGGGAGAGGTAAAAGTCAGTCTTACTCATTCTGTTGAGAGCTTCGTAGCTTAGGACGAGACGAAAGTTATGGGTGGTTTCGTTGTTTGGATCAAGATGGTTGAGCTGCAACCAACCAGCGCGTTATTTGTGACTCATGCTAGTCACAAATAGATCACATGTCACGTCACTGCGTTGAATCACGCGGGTGCTGGACTCTCCCTTCGACCTGAATCATTTGACCATCTTCAAAATCACGACTCAACAACAGTGTTTCAGCTGGTTCCAAAACGATCGGAACGCCTGACATGCTATACCCGCGAGAGGACACGAGCCCCGGTTGAATCTCGTCTTCAATGATTGAAGCTCAATTTCGATCGTCAAGTCGCGGTTGCTACTCTGATTCTCTGCAATCTCAGGCATGCACTGGTCCAGGTACTCGTTAACTTTGGGCGAATGTGAAGTCAAACATTATCGATCATCCCTCTCTGGTTTCATCCTTTCTGTCGGTGGTCTTTGCCCGCTGTCTCCGCTCACGCAGGAGCGTAAAAAGGTCACATTGCCCTCTGGAATGGTAATTTGTTCTGATCATAATGGAAATTCGGAATGCTCACCTCGTACCTTTGAGACCTCCCCAGGAGTCGGACTCTCGGCTCGTTCAATGGCACTGCGTAGAATTGTCTCCCGACAACGACGGCGTCGTGCCTCCCATTGTAAGGTCTCTACTTGAGACGCCGAAACGACCGACATCAGTCCACATCGCAGAGACGCTGTACACCTCCACATGCCCCGTGCCTTAGTCTCTCGGTCCACACCAAACACATTGGCCTACATAAATGCCGGATGGCGTCTCACGAGGGCGAGTTGGCGCCGCCTGGCGTCTAGTCTTCATACTCTTCGTATATTTACGGCGTTTGTGCCTGGGGTGACCAGGCACATGACCCAATTTGACTGTACTCAGACATCGATGGCACATGGGCTTAGGTCTCCGTTCGCCGCGACGAGCACGGTGCATCACTTCGGACAAGGTTTCTCTGAAGCCTATGAGGCGGTGAGGGTTCTTTTCCGAGCTCAGGGGGCAGTGAGACATCGCGAGGGATAAAAAGGCATGCATGGAGTGGACGAAAAGTCATACTCATCTGCTCCCTGCTCATCTTCTCTGCTTTCTTCTCTCAACTCCAAAGTACCTCTATCAAGCTACCATGAAGTCCTTCGCTGCTCTTTCTTTCCTCGCCTCCGTCGCTGCCCTCGTCGGTGCTCAGCGCATCAATGGCCCAGTCGGTTCGTCACCGTTCCCCGCCATTCGCTGCAGCAGCAAGATGCTAACGCCGTATTTCTTCAGAGTTCGTCTGTGAGGACCTGCAGGTCCTCTCCACCTCGTACATTGGCGATGCCAGCCAGGTGAAGGCGCAGACCGTGCACTGCGCCAACCTGGAGCGTCGCTCCAACCTTGTCAAGAGCAAGCGTGCGGCGCCCACCAACGTCTGCGGTGCTGCATGTAAGAACAAAACCCCTATTTGTATGCACCAAGGGCTGGTCACTGATTTGCGGGCTGAACAGGCACTACCAACTGCTTCACCCCCTCTGGCGGAGGACCCAACCCCAACGACTGCCAGGTCATCGCCGACGCGTTGCTCTATGACAGCCAGAACACCGGTACGTTCCCCTGCTCGTAATATCTACGCTCGCTTAACATCAACACGTCAACTTCAGGCAACCTCTTCAACATCACCATCGGCACGCCCGTCTACATGCAGTACGCGACCTGCGAGACGTTCTTCGTCAACCAAGCGAGCGTCAACCAGACCTACTGCCGCGACGACTGGGTCAGTCCTCTTCTTTACCCGTAGCCCGCATGCCAGGTGCTAACGTTCAGTCTCTAGTCCACTGTTACTGAGTACGTCGCAGACAACTGTCAGTCCACCCAGAACGCGCACGGCGGTAACTGCGTCGCCGACGACGGGAGCTGGTTCATCCAGTATGTCCACCCTCTTAGCTCCCTCCTGACGCATACTAATACCGTTCCTTAGGATTCAGGCTTCTTAAACTGACAAGCCAGTCATTACGTCTTAGACGGACTTGTATAACGGACTTTGGTTGAATAGGACTTTGTAATGCCTAAGTACGGTTTGTATTCACCACTCTGTAGTTTGGGTGTTACATTTGTCGGGTAATTTGATGATGACTTGTGGTATAAAAAATTGGGTTTGATCTTACATAATGTTTGAAGATTGAGGTGTCATCGACTGAACCTCGGACATAATATTGAAGATCAGCTTAGGGAACAAAAGTAAAGCCAACATTTTATATATTCGTAAAGTGGAGGCAAACCCTTGGTCAACGGAGCAAATTCTCGTACAGTGGCCACTGCCTGCCCATCCAAGTCGCTAATGTCGTGTGGTCCTTGTATGCGTCTCCAGTGTTGGGGTGAACCAACACGCTGATGGACATTCGTGGTCAGCCTTGCGTTCGTGAATCGGAGAGAACAAAGTGAGCTTACTCGCACGGGCCGCGGTTGACGGCGAGCCACGAGAAAAATGCGCCTGTTTGGTGCGGGTTCTGCGTGTCGACTTCGAACATGGCAGTAGGGTGGGGACCTAGAATAGTGGTGAGCAACCGCAACTGTCAAGGGCATCCATGCAGACGAAGACTTACCCATCGGCTTGTCCCAGAACCGATAGATGACAAGCTGAAAGTTCATTAGCATATAAAAAGCTACTAGCACGACGAGGAACAAATACCTCAGGGAACTCCTTTCTGATTCGGTCGTGAAGCTCCTTGGCGTGCTTCGCCGACTCGGGGTCGGAGGGGATGTAGTAGACTGAAAATCAGACCGCGGTCAGCGAACGTGTCCTCCAATCGAGACGTGTGTAACAGTGAACGCATACCATGGAAGTCGAACCCGTTCTCGCCCTTGACGAAGCCTTCCGGGAACTCGTCGTACGCCTTGGACCGCGGTCCGGGGGCGTTGGCCAGGGGCCACTCCTCCTCGCCGGACACACGCGACATGTACTTCTCCTTCGGGGTTTGCTCGCGGGACATTGTGTATGAAGTTGCAATAGGGGCTGAGTAGACGATGGAGTCGGGTGGTTGTCTGACATTCTGGCGAGGTCAGGTCACCCCTTTATATGCCTCCGTCGACGTTTCCTCCGCAGCTGTCGGTGGACATAACCACCGCGAGCCTTACTACTCGACCTTCGCGACCACGGCCGTTACGTGAGGCATATCATGTCCACCGAGCAAACGGGGTCTAGGTCTTCCTCCTAGTCACTAGAGCAGTGTGATCAATCAAATGACGCGCGCAGCCGCAGGTGCATAATTGACTCACCTCCTTCCCAAGTTCCGAACCACCGACACTCCAATCTCACCGAATAAGGGACCCTGCTGATGAGCCGAAAGCCCAGGTGTACCTTCGGCTCCCAAGACCTGAGAACATACCGCCCCACAGCGCAGCCGCAGACTGACCAAGCATGGGAGAAACAAGCGGGGTCGGTGTAAGTCCGAACACTGTCGGCACGAAGTCAATGCAAACGACGCGTTCGTCATCGGCGGAAGGCTGGGGTTATCTGATAAGACGGGTCATGGTGCTGCGTTTTGATGAACGTCTCGCGAGCAGAATGCAACAAGTCGACATCGTGTCGCGAGAAAGACAACATGGCCAAACTTCGCGTGTACCTTCCTCGGGGTTCCCACTTGCCACCAACTTGAAGGTCTCCTCGAAATCGAAATACAGCTAGCTTTCGTTCGCTTTACATTACAAACATACGCTCTCTGCGCACCACTTTGCACTACGGTGCTGCAGAACAACGATCAACAAACGTCGCATTCGCCAGCATCAGGAAAACGGCACCTCCCTTATTAACCGAAGGTGAACTTAAACGTCGCTTATACGCCTTATTTGACACTCGCCCGATTACTCGGAACGCGACTAAGTACAGCCTTGGGCAATAAGCTGCCGACGCCGCGAAAAGTGTTATAGATGAACATAGACAGCCCTAAATGAATAAATTCACCATAACTCGACCGAACCCGTACAAGCACTCCACAAGTAAGCTAAGCAATGTATAATTACTACTATGCAAGTTCGTAAGCATGATGGTCTGCAAAGCGGTTTACATAGAAAGCTTCAAATGAGTCCAGAGAATGATAACACTTCATATCCTTAGGTATCAACTGGCCACCAAAAACCGGGAGGAGATGAGCGCCCCGCACGAGAGAATCGACGTGAACAACCTCAACATGACGCGAGTTGCTCGCTGTCATCGACGGCCGCACCACATACATGCCGGTATTCTCGTCCCGTTCGTCTCCATCCCAGTTGTACCAATGTACGACCGCGCACGGGTAAACGCACCCTTCGTACCTGAAGGAGAAGAAAGCGAGGATACGAGCGACCTCCATAGAAAAGATGCCGTCAACATCTGGTCTTGTAACGACGAATGCGCAGTCGTTGCGGGGAGCCTCGTTTCGCCAAAGCGGAGTCGAACGGATGCGTTCGCGCTTCAGGCCTCCAGATCCGCACAAGTCGCTGGGCGCACGGTATATGGACACGGCGGAGTCGTAGACCCGTAGAGTTTCGGGGAGGTTGGGGAGGTCCTGTGGCCGAACCGAGCGCGCGGTGCGTCGGGTGATGTCGGGGTGGAGTTGGGCGTAGAGAAAGCGACGGGTAAGCCGCCGGATGTTCTGGACGCTGATCTCGGCAGCGAGAGCATCAAAGTCTCGAGCGCGTTGCGTGTCTATGAGGGGTATCAGTGTAAACCTAGCTGCTAGAAAAGAGTTACGCACTAGATTTTGCCGCTAAATTAACCTCTGCCGTTATGGTTGTTCCGTCAACTTCGGGCTCCTCCTGCTCCTCGGTGGCTTGAACTGAACACGAAACCGGTTCGTATACTTGCAGGCCATTGGTCGTATTGGGCTCCGCATGTTGGGTGTCTTGGGAAGAGTCCTGAGCGTCTACTGCAATGGAAGTTAGCGGGAGGCATCAACACCCGATGGGGACGACTCACGGGTCTGTAACATACGAAGTCGCCTAGGGAGGACGCTGGAGTTCAACATTCCTCGTGCTGCGAAGTCGACGCGAGCTGCCTTCAACTTGTCAAGCCGTTGGTTTGTTGTTAGCATCTGTCCGAGGGCGTTGAACCGACTTGAACGTCGCCATGGTTCCTTGACGGCTTCAATATGTTTTGACTCTGTGATTGATGAGCATAGGCCGTTTGGGGCCCCGAATTGCTGAACGAGATAGATGTAGTGAACAAGGGAGTGTTGGCGGGGAAGGGAGAGGGTGACGCCAAAGTCCCTGAAGCTTTCGCGATGATGGTGGAAGGAGTCAAGGGCGCGTTGGAGTGCGGTGATGTCGGTATCGGTGAGGGTGTTGCGACGAACCAAGTAGCAAAATTCTAGGAACGCGCGGACAGCGCGGACCATACCGTCGGGTACATGGTTCTCGATAGCGGGCAAGTAGACCTGGTTCGAGGAATTAGGGATGGTTTAGACAATGTTAGAGATGACATACCTTCATTAGCGCCTTCGAATCATCACCTGTCCACTGCTTGAACCCACGCCCTTGAGGAAACCTTCGAAGGCCGGCAAATGGAGCGGCAACAGCGATGCTATACAAATGTTAGAACTGAGGATATGGTCACTAAGTTAATGTAGCTTACCGACGGTCGATGTCGGCCATGATCTTCTTATAATCCCGTCGCGTGTGCTGGCTCTTGAGGTACCTGCAGACCCACTCGACCAAATGGTCTTTGAAAGTGCCTTTAATTAATTGATGGAGGAGGTCGGGGGCGATCAGCTCGTGGATGTCGGCACGAGGGAAGTCGTTTGTAAAGGGCTAAATGAACGATTAGTATGACCACAATCAGCAAAGGAGGGAGCAACGCACGACAACGTTGGCAATGATGCCATACGAACTCCAAAGTACTCCGGGGTGATACTCCTCGATGAGCGCTTCAGTGTGTTCTTGGCAACGCCGGAGGGCGTGGTCATCCAGTCGATCAGGAAAGGCGAGGCATCTGTTGAGAAGCATGAGAACACGGAGCCCTCGGAAGCGAAAATAAACTTACCGAGGACACCACCCTTGTACGATGCCGGCGAGGAGCACCTGCTCAGGGTAGTCAGCGATGTAAGGGCCGACACCCCATACAACACGTCGATAGTGCCCATCGCCAAATAGGACAACTTCTGGCTGGGTCATGCCGGGCTTGAAAGCTTGCAGGATGGTCGAAAGGGACGTATGATACAGTTGTCGCCGGAAATGGCGAAACTGGGGGTCGTCGGCACAGGATTCATCAGCTAAGGACTTTATTAGTATATGCAACCAATGAAATTGAATAGAATAGAAAAGGCTTACCTTTGGGGACGGAGAGAAACCCGACTAATGCAACGGCATTGCGGCGGGCACGACGTGCGGTGTTGTGAATATTGCCGGGGGAGATGTAGAGTGGGTAGTATTCCGTGGCACCAGTTGCAACGGATACCGTCGTCTTGTCGCTGCCCATAATGAATGGAACAAATGTTGCACCGTGCGTCGACGGGTCTTCAGAGATTCTCGTCTGCGAAGTGTGAGCACAAACTAGACAATGCAAGACATGACAACGTACCGCCTGATCCCATGCCCAATCTCCCGAAAACATATTCTCATACTGCCTGACTCCGGCTTCATCATAGTCGCGATATGGGGTGAGGTCGATGTCATCTTTCATGTCGGGGCGGCTGAGGATATTCTTGATGACCTCCCGGGGGTCACGAAACCATACATCGTATTTCCCATCCATCCATGTTGGTATGTTCTGACTTGGCCGCGGTCCCTGATAGGAGACGTTAAACGTCTCCCATGCAACGTCGCAATGCTCGATCTTGTCAATTGCCTTATACATCTTGTCGTGGTCGAGGAATGGCGGGGGCAACTCGGAGCCGTCTTCTTTGGTGAGGCTTGCTCCCCAAACTGCAAGAAGCGCGTCGATATGGGTTGCAGACATCTGCACCCGGCGGTACAGAAGGTCGGCAGTCTCGAACTCGACTTGGTTGTTGAAGGGAAACCAGTCGCTTGGTGATCGAGGAGGTGGCAGGTCAGGTTGAGAGCTTGGAGACACGTATTCACCGTGTACGTTGCATTTGCTGGCTGAGGAGAATGTTATTGGTGGACACTTGTACGGAACTGGTCCCTTACTCACCTGTCAAAAAACGATGAAAAACTCTCCGAATTGGACCCAGGTCAACCTCCTCGCCCATTGTATGCTCCTCGCCCCGTGGTTGCTCCTCTGCGTCACCAGCACCTAGTGACTCGGACAGGAAATTGCTGTCTTGACCAAGGTCGGGGCTGGGAGAGCGATTGTTGTCCTGAATAGGTCCGAATACTATGGGCGCGAGCGGAGGAAGGGGAGCAGTTGGTGGGGAGACATCACGGAAGAAGTCGAATGAGGGAGGAGAAGATGTACGAGGGGGAGAGTGGTCCTGTGGGTCTTGTGGTGGCTGACGGACTGGGAGTGATTGCGAGTGGTGTTGGACAGGTGGAGGGGGTACTGAGGATGGAACAGAGGCCGGGGCAGGCTGATGAAACCGACGAGATCTGATGATGCGGCGGTGGACACGATTCGTGTGCTGGGTGAGGCCGGATTTGCTCGCAATTTCTGCACCACAGCCCGGTACGCGACAGTCGTAACGGCCCCAAGTGCGGCCTTCAGAAGGATTGGAAAGGAATGACATGGCGGTGAGGAGTCGGAAACGAGCAAGTCCCGTTGAAGGTCACTAATGAATAGCGCCTGCGTGTCACTGAAATTTTCAGCTAACGTGACCTTGGTTGAATTTTCAGCGCGGCTTACCTATTCCCGTTTTTCAACACCCTTCTGCATCCACACCAATGGCACAAGCTCCGCCCCGCAGGTCAACTCGCACCACCCACGCCCGCAACACCAGCACCAGCACCAGGGCTGAGCCCCAGCCACCATTGCCTCAAGGGCCTCTGATGCACCACCGCAAGAACCAGTCCGCTGTCAGTGTGACAGAAGAGGTCGAGCAAGGTTTGAGCCTGGACAAGAGCCGCAAGCTCACGGCACCCCAGCCCAAGGCACCAACATCCCGGTTGAAGTCAACAGCAGCACCGAAGGCACCGGCATCTCAGGCAAAGCCGACAACTGTGCCCAAGGCCCCGACCAAGCCAATGTCGACAGCAAAAGCCAGGACAACCAAGGCAGCAGCTCAGCCCAAGCCTGCTCCCCAGCCTCGGGAGCTCCCTGAGCTCACTCCACGTGTTGCGGAGATCGAGGCGAAGATGGCCAATGCCCAAGTGCCGAAAGGAAAGCCGAAGCCTAAACTGAAAAAGGTACCCTCAGTTCCCGAAACACCTGACAGCGTGCCAGACGCACCAGTAGAGCCGGCTCTCCTGACAAGGCCAACAGCAGTGTCGGCAGCTGCTGCGAAGCGGCTGGGTCAGAAGGTTATAGGTCAGTAACTGCAAGCCCTCGTGATAGGTCTATGCTAACCTTTGCTTCAGACCGCAACATGGAGAGGGAGGAAGAGAATGACAGGCACAGAGATGTTGAGGAAGACTCCAGCGAGAAGGAATTCCATCAAGACGAAGTCGAGAACGGCACTGGTGACAAACTGTGAGTCCTTCCATATTCAGTCAGCTTCTTGCTCAAGCTCACGCATCTATTATTACCAACACCTGTTGATCAACGACCACCACGACCTCATGCTCCTCTCCCTCACCGAATCAACTCTTTATTGGCGCGATATGGCCCTCGCTATCTATAGTGGCCCGGCTACTTTTGACGACTTCCGCCCTCGCATCAATACCTGGAAGGCCAACATCCCACGGAGTGCTAGCACCTCAATCACCTCACGCACCAAGTCCAGCGCCAGCCGAAGAAGTGTCATCACAAAAGCTTCATCATTCACCACTATTTCCTCCCGGGCGTCCACCCCCCATGTGTCTGCAAAAGGCGTGCCAGCAAGTGCGGGCTCTTCCCGTGAACTGTGTCATGGGATCCGTGACGAGGACGATACCGAAGACGTTGAGCGTGAGGGGGCATCCATGTGGAACATTGACGGCAAAGGAGTCAAGGTGCGCTCTCTCAATCCTTTCAACACCATCAGCAGTTGACCAGTCCGTACCAGTCAGCGGTTTCTATAGAGCGCCCCGCCTCAAACTCGACTTCTACCCCGCTTGGACCGCCATACACTCAAATCCCTTGCACATCGCCCGAAGTTCAGGAATCACGCAAGAGGTCTCGTCCCGATGATACCCACTCTGACTCAGAATTATCCGAGCAAGAACATGTACGCTACTATTACCTTATTCATGTTCTTTATACTGACCTCCCTGAAGCTACAGCCCTACGAACCAGCTGAGTACAATGATACCAACCCCGAGGCCGATTACGACGAGACTCACCCTAATGCGAACTATAACGAGGCCAGTGCTGAGGCCGACTACGACGACACCAATCCCGAGGCTGAGGACGCTGGAGCCGACCCCACAGCTAGCAGCCATGTAGACGGCGACGACCTCGCTGTCGGGATGGATGTCTCCACCAATGTGGATGGCCTGGAAGCGTCTCCCGATGGCCACCCTGATGACGAGACCATGGATCAAGCGGCTGAAGATGTCCAAGATGGCGAGGAGGCAGTGGAGCAGGACCATGGTGTGGATGAGGGAGACGATGGCAACCAGGGTGATGCACACGCTGCCGATGGCACTGAGCAACCTGGTGTGGTCAACGAGGATGGCAGCACCGAGGAGGGTGAGCAAGGCGAGACACTTGTCCCTGCCTTTGGGCAAAAGCGTACCACAGCTTCGGTGAGCATTTTTATAATAAATTTAATTGAATTCGGAATGCGCTGACGGTATACACCATCAGATGCATGCCAAGGCCTCGACTCCTAGCCTCCATCGCCCAAGTAAGCGTGCAAGGATGGAGCGACCCGCACGGACCGGCACTCCAGCTGCAAACGGGGACAAGAAGCCTGGCAAACCCAGGGTATCGGACTTGCCCCTCGAATGCAGAACCTCCGACAAGCTGTTCTCAGCCACCCTCATGCCCACAGTTTGCCTGTGGATGGGCGAGTGCGATCAGCCCTGGAACCCCTCGGATGAGGTAATCGAGGACGTCTGCGCCAAGATTTATCCAGTTGTTTTCGGCCGCGAATACAGTGATCTAGAGGAATCGGAGCGCAGCACTCTCTTGAGTATTGTACGATTTTCCCTTATCCTCTTTCTATTCTAACAAGTTGACGCTAATGCTACCTTTGCTCCAGGTCTGCGAACGACTTTGCGGCTGGCGGAACAACTTCGGCTCCACTGCGGTGGCTGCCCTTTTGGTTCTGATGGGCGGGCGAGGCTTGTTCGATGACAAGGATCGTCGTCAATTTTGCCAGCAGCTTCTTGTCGAGGGGGCTTTTCTTTATGAGCGGATTGTGGATGGGAAGCCGATCAACATCTTTCAAGGTTCGTATTTCGTCATCGTCCTCTCGTGTCATTTCCAGGCCATCCAAGGCCACGTCGACGTTCCGGCATTCAAGCGCCTCACAACTCCACAATACCTCCCTCGCGGCGCTTTTGGACTTGCCGCTGCCGCTGTAAGTTCATCTTTCCTCATTCTCCCTATTTCGTCGCGGACGTTAATCATACCCAACAGTGCGTTCGCGCGATCAACATGGTCATTCAAGGCAAGATGGGCGATATCAACAAGTCCCTCAACGGCATTGTTCAGGCCGGATGCTCTCCCGAAAGCGGATGGGATGGAGTGTGCAAGGCCAAGCGGCTCATCAGCGCCGCGAATCGCAAGCCGAGGGTTGAGAAGAAACGCAGCTCAAAGAAGGTCAAGTCCACCCCCGAGTTCCCTCCGCCGCCGCCGTTTTCCGAGGCCAACTACGGCAGCATCACGAAGGACCTTTACGAGAGCGCAATGCGCGAGAAAGCCCAGCTTCACGTCGTCGCTTCTTGGGATCGCGCTATCGAACACATCCTCAGCTCCGGCACTGCTGAGGATGACGCGGCGGAGGAGAGCGCGGATGACTCCAATGACAAGGCCCGTCGGAGTATGTTCTTCTACTTGCCTCTTCAGTGTACGTCTCCAGTTCTTTTATCACTCTATCGTCACTCATTGAATACCAGAATTTTCGTATCCTGCATGTCCCTCAAATCGTCGTTTCCGCTTTTTTACTACTGTTATATTAGAGCCTAGCTTATAGAATCGCATTAGAACTTTTGCAATGAAGATTTCGTCTGCTTTTTGAACGCTTATGTGACATAACGCCCCGTGCTAAGTACTCGTAAGAATAGTATAAGGCTGAGAATAAGCCGCCTATAAGAAACAGTAATCGTCTCGGGGAGACGATCTCAGGATGTAAAAATATGCCATAAGACAGTCCGCAGTGACCGAAAGGTCAAGAAAAGCTGCGTTATAATTTGCAAACGAGAAAGATCGTGCCTATGACAAGTAGCCGCCGCACTTATTGGCCTGACACTTATCGTGGGACCGATTTACTATAAGTTCACACAAGTGACCCGATAAGGCAACTGCCGTTTTCCTGATGAGGGCAAAGCTTGAGCGGTCCTCGGTCCTGTCACTTCCAGACTATGTCCCTCTTCGATATCCGAGTTCAACGACATCACTGCGGCGCAGTCGCAGAAAGTCGGCCGTCCGCACTGCAGGTCCACACGTTGCAGCGTGCAGCGTGGACTGCTCGCATATGCGACCGAGGGCAATCGGCAGCGCTACCGAGCTCTCAAGTCAAGTCTCAAGCTTCGCTAACCTCAAGCTCCCCAGTCGCCCGATCCTCGTCCCTTAATCTCAAGATCGCCACCGCTTCCGCTCACTCCAACTAAAACCCGCTCTCCTGCCCGCTCGTACCTACAGTCGACTCTCCCTTACTGCATACCTCCCTTAGTGCATACGTTCTAGTAATGCATAGGTTTTGGGCTTTCCCGAGTTGGTTTGCGGGGTAAGCGCCCGTAATTCGCATAACGCATAATGCATAGGCCAGCAGGCTTGCCAATGCATAGCTCAGGGGTAAAAAGGGCCGAGTTTGCCGTAGTTACAGGCTGATTGACTAGGATGTATGCAGCACCTCCCTCTGTCCCAGTCTCTTCTAGGCTTGTCGACGACCCCCACTCGCAGTCCAGCACTCCAGACAAGCTCCTCATGAACGCAGCCGACAATCTTGAGGCACGGGGTGTATTACATAAGCGCAACCGACTTCAAATTGACGAGCTTCTTACCATGAGCAAGATCACTGACGACGAGATTTTTGAGGCTGAGGTGAAGGCATGGGAGGCGCGGGACAATATGGAGAGTACAGGGACAGATGCCGTTGACGACGAAGGTGATGTTATCGAGGAGCTGCCTGGGCTCGAGAGGTCCTTCAAGTCTCGGGTCTGATCAGTAAGTACGTCGCTGCATTAGATGACCGGGCCATGGCACGGAAATTGGAGGCTTTGCTGGGGTCATTCAATCGCCAGCTGCACTTAGATCAGGTGTCGAGCTTGAAGGAGACTCAAATTACACAGTATTTTGCATCATGTACATAGTTTTCGTACTACAGTCAACTCTCCCATATTGCATACCCCTCGGGAAATGCTCCAGGCTATGCATTATGGGAGGGTATGCACATAGGGAGAGACATGATAAATAGGGGCTAAATAACCCGATTTAATTATATGTTGTTCTAGACCCAGTAGTACGAAAACTATGTATGTGATACAAAATACTGTGTAATTTGAGTCTCCTTCAAGCTCGACACCTGATCCAAGTGCAGCTGGCGATTGAATGACCCCAGCAAAGCCTCCAACTTCCGTGCCATGGCCCGGTCATCTAATGCAGCGATGTACTTACTGATCAGACCCGAGACTTGAAGGACCTCTCGAGCCTGGGCAGCTCCTCGATAACATCACCTTCGTTGTCAACATCATCTGTCCCTGTACTCTCCATATTGTCCCGCGCCTCCCATGCCTTCACCTCAGCCTCAAAAATCTCGTCGTCAGTGGTCTTGCTCATGGTAAGAAGCTCGTCAATTTGAAGTCGGTTGCGCTTATGTAATACACCCCGTGTCTCAAGATTGTCGACTGTGTTCATGAGGAGCTTGTCTGGAGTGCTGGACTGCGAGTGGGGGTCGTCGACAAGCCTAGAAGAGACTGGGACAGAGGGAGGTGCTGCATACATCCTAGTCAATCAGCCTGTAACTACGGCAAACTCGGCCCTTTTTACCCCTGAGCTATGCATTGGCAAGCCTGCTGGCCTATGCATTATGCGTTATGCGAATTACGGGCGCTTACCCCGCAAACCAACTCGGGAAAGCCCAAAACCTATGCATTACTAGAACGTATGCACTAAGGGAGGTATGCAGTAAGGGAGAGTCGACTGTACTGGGTCTAGAACAACATAGAATTAAATCGGGTTATTTAGCCCCTATTTATCATGTCTCTCCCTATGTGCATACCCTCCCATAATGCATAGCCTGGAGCATTTCCCGAGGGGTATGCAATATGGGAGAGTTGACTGTATGTACCTGCCCCGCCCCAGTGCTTGAGAGAACCGCCCGAGGTAACGTCCCCAATACGTAGACTTTCCTATTCATTACAATTGCTCTTTTAATATTTCACGTTCCATGTACTCTTAGCGTTCTTCATCTCGAGCCCTAGTGATGGCAGGCACGATCTCAGTTGAAAACACACTTGGGAACTACCCTTTTCTTTTCCTACGGTTCCTGGAATGATTGCACTTCTACGCCGCTTGAATTACGCAGTAGAACTGCAAAGATACGTGTCTTGTTTCACGAAGGGCGGACCTCCCAGCCGGCAATAAACGGTTTTCACGAAGAGTCAATCGGGACGAGCATGACAACCCTCACGCCTCGAAAGAAAGAGATCTACACCACACCACGACATCGTAAATCGCAAAACCCGTTGTTTAATCAAGTACCACAAACGTGATACTACTGTCCATGTGTAAGTAAAGACCGTCAAAGAATTAAGAGACCAACAAAGAGCCGTTATACGTAAGTACCCTAAGCCCCAAGACCAGTTCGCCCCGTTATGCTAAATAAGCAGCAGAATCCGAGTCCAAAAGCTCAACCACCAATCATCAACTAAGTAACTGATACTTAGTGGTGACGGCGCTCAAAGCCCCGCATGCACCTGCGCGTCCCGCCGCTCGACAAGAACGCCGCGGAGCCCATCGAACCGAGCGTAAACCCGGTCCCGTCGCTGCTCACGTCCCCGCTCTGCATCGCCGCGCTCACACTGCCGCTCACCTGCACGTCCGCCCACGTAACCGTGTTCGACGCGTACTGCGTGTTCGCGGCCATAACCATCGTCGACGCGCCGTCGCTCCACACGGCGACGTCGATCCCGTTCACGACGTAGTTCGTGCGCGTCGCGTTCCCGCTGAACAGCAGCGGCGTCAGCTGCGGGAGCGTCTTGGCGAGCATCGACGCCGAGTTCATGATGTCCGCCGGCGCGGGGTCTGTCCAGGGCAGGATGCCGAGTGCGCCGTGGTTGATGCCGAGGACGGACTGCACGATGAACTCTTCGCCCGAGGGGACGCGCGCCCAGTATCTGCGCGTCGTGCGTGAGTATATGCTCGAAAAAGCGCGCGTTTTGATAACTTACTCTCCGTCAGCGCCGAATGCCTGAGGCGTCGCCCACGCAGCCTTGGTGCGCTCCCAGCCCATCGCGACCATGCGGTCCGCAAACGACTGCTGACGGTCGCTGATCGCCTTGAACGCGCCCACACCACTGTTGGCCGGCACACCGCCCGCATACATGCTCGTGAGCGTCGTGTTGCCCGGGTACAAGCCGCTCTGATCGCCAGCGAGGATGCTCTCGCAGTTGTCGCAGCCGCAGTCGCCCCACTCGGGCGTGCACGGCGTGCCCCAGCGCTCCGAGTACGAGTTGTTGTTCCCGATGATGTACACGTCCTGGATGACGATGTCCGCGCCCTGGCTGTACTCCTGCCAGTAGTAGTCCTGGCAGTTGAGCACGAGCGAGACGGGGTGCCGGGCGCCGTCGAGCTCGTAGATCTTGTCGTACGCGCCCGTCGCGGAGCTGAAAGGGTCCGATGTGCCGTCGGGTTCGTCGCCGGTGTACCACAGGAGGAGATTGGGCGCGTCTTTGATCATGTTGACTTGCTGTTCGACGGCGGTGAGGTTGCGGTAGTCGAAGCGCATGTCGTACATGAGGTACATGTTGTTCTGCTGCATGCGCTGGACGACCTGCTCAAAGAGGTCCCAGTCGTCGAAGGTGGGGATGGGGTGGATCTGTCGGACTATGGTCAGCGACGCTAGCTCAACAAGCGCACAAGACAGCGCTTACCATGTTGAAGCCTTGCTGAGCGAGCTCATCGATAACCGAGAGGTTCGTAGCCAAAAGCCCCCAGAAGTCCGTGAAGAAACCAACGGGGAAAACGGGGGCATAGTCGCCGCCGTTACCGTTGGCGGGCTTAGCCAGCAGTGCACCTGAGCGCAAGTCCATCTTGGTCACCGAGCCACTGGTGGGGTTGGGGATGATGGTCAGCTCGGCGGTCGAGCTGTACTTCTGGGTGCCAGAAGAGCCGGCGAACGTCGCGGCACACGAGATATCGTACGGGGTCGTCTGGGGCGTGAAGCTCGAGATGTTGATGGGGATCTCGTACGCGGTGGCGTTGAGCGGGACACTGGCGGAGCCAAGGGTTGTCCCGTTCACGGAGAGGGTGACGTTGAGGCTGCCGGCATCGGCGAGGGAGGCGCCGCTCTTGATTCCGATGGCCTGGGCGCCGGTGAGGTTGTAGTTGGTGACGATGGAGTCGACGATGATGGCGCCATTTTGGCTCTGGTCCTCGGCGAGGTAGGGGCGGATGGCGGGTGCGCAGCGGAAGGCGAGGCTGGGGGAGTCGGAGTATGCGAGGGCAGGGAAGTTACCACCCGGAGGAGAGGGACCGTCGGAGGACAGATAATTCTTGCCACACCTACGGTGAACGAGCCCGTATCAGCATCGCGACGCTTTTGGCTGCATCAAGTGGGGACGTACCATTTGGCACCAGCAGACACGCTGGTGATGAGGTTGGCTGCTACGAGAGCAGCTGCAACGGAGCGCTGCATCGTTTCTCCTCAGATATCCAGAAAAGAACGGAAAGGAAGGAGAGACAGAGCAGACGTGGAGTTGGGCGAAGAAAGAAGAGAAAGAGATGAAATAGCCGCCAAATGCAAGAGAGGGCTTTATAGTGCCCTGACAGAGGCCATATGATCGGGGGTCTCGACTGCCAGGTGTCATTAACGCCATGGCCGTCCCCGCTCCATCATGGCATGTGCATGGCCGCTGATTGCCAGTTGTCTCCCTCGCACTGGCAAGTATACTTAGCACAGAGCAAGAGACAACTCATCCGCTGATTTCCATCGTCCTTGTCCGCCTCAAAACATGTTGATGCTGGTGGTGTGGCCACATAAGGACATCCAAGACCCCGTTTCAGAAGGCCACACAAAGCCGATGTGCGCAGCCACAACCCTGACTGAATGCACGTCGGCAAACACAACAGCACACAACTCGGTTACCCATCTCACGGGCTTGACTCTTTCACAGTCCACAACAGCGAGGTTGCACAAATCACTACGCGCGGAATGGTGGCATACGCATACATGCGCGGCGAGGGTTTGCAACTACACAAACATCTTCAAGGGAACACCTTCAAGGGAACAACAAGCTCAAACTTTCCGGTCGGGCGGAACGCGGACAACATTCATATTCAGAAGAAGCGCAAGAACTTCTTGAATCTCGACACGGGCCATTTTGCAGACATGACTGAAGGGCGAGAGTCTCATGACAGAGGTTTCCTTCGCAGAAGACAGCTATTCAACAGGTGATCAGATACAATCGCGGAAGACTCGCACAACGTATTTCTACACTCGACCATGCAGCTACCTCGATGCACAACCCATACATCGAAGCAATGTTTCGGCGACGGCGACATACACGATATTCAAACTCCGTGCACGGAGCCGACCGAGACTCGGGGGCCGATGATTCGCAAGATGAACGCTGTACGTTATCAAAGTGTTGTTCACCGCAACCATCAGTCGGCAGCGGCTGGACGCATCTCGAGTATCACTCATCCGCGGTGCATATATCTTCTCATAGCCAGAATAAAAAATGGTGCCAGCTTGGGCTTTGCAAAGGCGCTACAACATATAGTAGATTTTTTTTCGAGAGGGGATGTCCAAAGGTATCCTATCCTACATAATTTGTTCACGAATAACCTTCTGATCCACAGTCTCAGGCAACCGCGACGCTCTTGACATAGTCGATGCGGTACGGGTTCACATCCGTCTCCGGGCCCCTGTTGTGCGCGATCCACTTGGGCTCGTCCTAGTGGGCGATCATACAGTCAGCATCCAAGGCCATCCACGTGCGGTAGGACACGCTAGCGGAAGCTCATGCGTACCTTGAACAGGCGCATCGTGCGGGACTTGTTGCCCTCGTCGAGCGTGAAGCGGTGGTAGATGCCGGCAGGCAGCACCAGCAGATCGCCCGCCCTCATGTGGCACCGGATCCACGCTTCGGAGGCGTGCTCTATGTGCAGCAGGTGAGAATTGCCCACAGGATAAAAAATCTCCACGCAGCGAGACGCTTACCTCTGACGTCGAAGTAGCCGCCCCCTTCTAGGATATACCGAATCTCCTCATCCTCGTGCATATGTCTGCGCCCCACAGCCATGTCAGCCCACCCATCCACGCCTCAAACCCCTCCTCGCTAGAACAGAACGCACTCTTTGTAAAAGTTCTTGATCTTCGTCTCGTACTCGTCCCCGAGCGACTCCTTCGTCACGACGATCACGTCGCGGTTCTTACAGTCCCGCTCGCGCGCGACAGCATCGATCCCCTCGATATGCTTCCCCGATTCGTCGTCGACGGGGATGTGCCAGTGCAGCACGCCGATCGCGGACAGCGTCGCGGCGTCAACGGACTTGCCCGAGTCGTGCGGGAGGCGCTGGTCGCCCGGGAGATCGTCGAAGTAGTATGCGCGCATGGTGTGGGGTGGATTCAAGTCGAGCTCGGCTGGGGTGGGAAGGGGGATGGGCAGAGCGGGGCGCCGCCGTGAACGTGAACGGGGGGCGCTTTTATAGAGCGAGATGTGGCGGGAGAGTTCTAGAGTCGTGATCACGAGTGCGGGTGTGTGATTGGTAAGAATTCTCCGTCGTCGAACTTATCCCCGGGCGCCGAGAAGCTCACGTCGACGCATTGAAAGGTGTCGTTTCGCCACTCCGAGGAGGCTTGACCTATGTTTGTCTCGCTGGGGACACCCAAGATACCGGGAAAGCACGCGCCGCCGGGCGGCGCGGCCCCCGACTCGGCTTGAGCTTGATTCTGCGTAAGAATAGATGCACAGCTGTGCAGTATTTTGCCAACCAGTCGTTATTTTACAGGGCCTCGAATCTAGCACAGGTGGTCTAGCCTACTTCAAGGACTCGCGCTTGCAGTCTGGTAGAGCTCAAAACGAGCGCTGGACTTCAATCCACTCGGTCCACGTTGACCGCAGCATGGATAATTCAGCCTCATGGCCTCGGGGGCATTACTACGACTCAAACTCCAACTACCACAACGTATGCAGGCTTGGCGTCCGATTCCTCCATCATTCACCAACAATTTCCGAACATAAAAAATAACCCTTGAGAAGGGAGGAACGAGATGGTAGCCAATGATATTTCATCTCCAGCCTTGCGGGATATCGTAAAGCTCGTACGTACCATTATTTGAAGCTGCGCACGGCGCGTTGACTGCGGCGACGCGTCATCCCATTTTCAAGCTTCCAGATGCTCTTTCAGACGTCTCTGTCAGTCGTTCACGCGCCTTCAAACGTGTTAATACCGCTTACATACTTCGTAAGTAGCGAATAACGACAGCCTCCCCTTTCGCATGTTGGGAAAACACAAACTACCCGGCGCGCTCAGAGGCCGAAGCGCAGCAGATCCGATCCATGCTTGCGGAGATGTCTCTCGTCAAGCAAAACCTCGAGAACATCTGCAGCGCCGTCACTGCGTCCATTCAGCAGCTGTCGGGATCGATGACGTCCTATTCGCGGTTCGTGGCTGCTGTGACGCGCCTCCCGGACGAAATCCTATCCGAGATCTTCGAGCGGGCCTGCGCGCCTTCGGATATGTCTTTTACAAGCAGCGGCCACACGTCGTGGCGAGATGCGTCTTTGACGTCCCACCGCCTCGTCTGCGCGGACGTGTCGCAGGTATGTCAGAGGTGGAGACGCGTTGCGCTAGCTACACCGCGCCTGTGGACCGCGTTTTCCCTCAACGTGCACAAGCGGACCATCTGGGCGCTTCCCATTCCGCTCGAGATGATCGAACGGGCGAGCAGCATGCCTGTCTTTCTTTCATTTACCCTGAGGGCGAGTGATTACGAGAATATCCCTCCTTTGGCTATCACCGATGGCGGTTCCAACATTGCACTCGGGAAGGTGAAGGGCGTCGACGTCGATGCCTACTCTACCATGCACATCTCCGACATCCTGGACTGGCTCCCCGCTTTCCCCCGCCTCCAGCGCCTCAGGCTCAAAGGCGTGAGCACGCGCAACTGGCCATGGGACGAGCCGCCGAGCTGGCTGCGCCGGCTCACGCACCTGCATCTGAAGCTTACAGACTTGCGCAGCGCCGAGACGCTTCTCGCTGCTCCTGGCGGCGCATGGGACAGCCTCGTCTCGCTCACGCTCGAGGACGCCGGCGTGCTCGACCCCCTCCCGATACTGACGAGCTTTCCCCGGCTCGAGGAGCTCTTCCTGCTCTCCGCCATGTCCCTCGCGGCCAACCCAAACCAGGGCGGCGGCGGCGGCGGCACGCAGCCGCCCATCGTCGTGCACGCGCGCCTCCGCCGGCTCAGCCTCTGTATCCGCGCGCGGCAGCGCGTGGCCCCGTTCTTTGCGGGGATGGCGTTGCCGGCGCTGCGGCGCCTCGGCGTGTGCGCGGAGACGGGAGAGTGGATGCATGCGGGCGCGCTGGTTCTGGATGCGCTGGTGGAGCGGTCGCGGTGTAGGCTGGAGAGTTTGGTGCTGTCGGCGGTGCATACGCCGTTCGCGCGGGAGACGCGGGAGCTGGCTGAGCGGTTCGGTGAGCGGTGGGGGGTTCCGGATGTTAGGGTGAACTGGGGCGAGCGGGAGGAGATGAGGTATGTTGAGGCGTGTAAGGCGGATTGGTATTCGTGAACGATTCGGCCGTTGGGACAGCTTAGTAGGGGTCTAGAGTACACTTCGGTACGATAGCATTTAAACGAGGTCGCGTTTGAGTTTGAAGGTTTCATCAAAGACATAACAGAGCAACTGCAGCTCTCCAAGGACAGGCAGCCGGCTCGTTATCTCTGGGAGGGTTTCAACCCTAACCTCGGAGATGCGCATGACTCAGAAAGTCAAGTCAGGTGAGTCACATGACGTTCGTGTTCGCGTCGCGTCGTCTCCCCGCTCTCTTTAAATCGTCTCGTCTCCCCTTTCCGCCCCATCGCGATGGCATCGAAGACGAAGCAGCCCCTCAAATCAGGGACGACCGGCAACGCGAAGAAACGGAAGTCAACAGGGCCCGCCGATGGCGATGCGTCTGCGAAGAAGAAGCAGCCGCGACTGGACAGCTTCTTTGCGCCCAGGGTCGAGCTGAGCGCGACGTGCGGGACCGACAAGAAGACGCACGTCGCGCAGCTGAGCGATGAGCAGAACGCGGTGCTCCGCATGGTGCTGGACGACGAGAAGAGCGTGTTCTTCACTGGGTCCGCTGGTGCGTTCGTGTTCATTTCCGGCTCGAGGGTCTCGTCGCTCGTGCCGTAAGCCGGAGCCACGCTGAACCTTATCTTGTTTTTATTTTATTTTGGGTTTCATCAAACTTCCACTATTGCTCGTCTTGCGCCCATGTGGACATGAACATGTACAGGAACGGGCAAGTCGTTGCTCCTCCGCGCTATCATCTCCTCCCTGCGCAAGAAGTATGCGAAGAAACCCGACGCGGTGGCAGTGACCGCGAGCACGGGGATGGCGGCGTCCAATGTTGGAGGTCAGTGCTCGGGCCTTTTTCGTCGAGTGACGACTGTGTTTACGGCATATTCAATAAAGGGATGACGATACATTCGTGGGGCGCTGTCACCCCTAGCAACAGCGATGTCGACGCTCAGATTCGGTGCATACGTTTCGCCAAGCCCGCGTTGCAGCGTTGGAAGAACACCAAGGTGCTCATCATCGATGAAGGTATGTCTCCCGCCTCACTTCTACAGCTCAATTCTCGATGCCGTCTTTAAGTGTCCATGGTGGATGGTCACCTTTTCGACACGCTCGAAGCAATTGCTACCAAGCTACGGAAGAAGACGGACAAGCCATTTGGTGGCCTCCAGGTAAGCATCACTCCGCTTCTTATCCTCGTTCTGCCGTCTGAAGGTGATCAAAGCTGGTCGTGACGGGCGACTTCTTTCAACTACCACCTGTCTGCAAGGGAGAGCCGTTCTTTGCGTTTGAGAGCAACTCCTGGACAAAGTGCATCGAGCACACCATCAACCTTACCCAGGTCTTCCGTCAGAAAGACAATAGTACGTCAACCCCACTCTTCTCTCGAGCGATTTCCAACCTTGTCAACAGAATTCGTCGACTTGCTCAACGAAATGCGTTACGGCTCCATCTCTCCTGCCACGGCGCAGGCCTTCAAAGCCCTCGCGCGCCCCATCCCACCGCCGCCTGCGAGCATGCCCAACATCCAGCCAACCGAGCTCTTCCCGATGCGCCACGAAGTTACAAATGCCAACCAAGCCCGGCTCCGCGCGCTTCCCCATCGGACGTACATCTTCCAAGCGCACGACACGTTTCCGCAAGCTAACAAGTCCGCCTCGTCTGCGAGAAGATCCTCTTCCTCTTCGTCCTCGTCAACATCTTCCCCTGCATCGTCGACTGCTACAGCTTCCCCCACGTCGAGTAGCACGTCCGCGACCTCTGTCGCGTCCAGCTCTAAATCGTCTGCCCTGGGCTCGAGGCAAAATGCGCAGACAGATCAGGCCAAGCGACGACAAGAGGGCCTGCTGGCGGGTGTGCTTGCGGAGAAGACGCTTGAGCTTAAGAAGGGAGCGCAGGTCATGCTCGTCAAGAACATCGACGAGATGCTGGTGAACGGGTGTGTCGGCAAGGTCGTTGGGTTCGCGACTTATCGCGAGGTCATCACCGCACGGAACGAGCTCGCACGGGCAGAGTTGGGAAGCGCTGTCCATGCGGATAGTGTGGTTACGCCCAAGGTGGAGAAAGGAAAGGTGTCAAAGGAGAAGGAGAAAGACGTGAAGACCGAGAAGGCGCGTGAAGGGGAGGGGAAATCCGACGTGAAGGAGGAAAATGACAAGAAGAGCAAGGCCGCGAAGCTCGTTGTCAAATCCACAGGCGTCATCCGCAAGGTCCGCGTCGACCCCGGCGGCGCGCTCATTACCGTCAGCACCGTCAAGGAGAACCTCGACCCCTCCTCTTCATCTCCACGCACCACCTCTCCCGCGTCCGCAGCTGCAAGTAGCATCTCCGCCCCCGCCAAACCGTGTTCGCCCCCATCCACCTCCACCACCTCGCACCCATCCGAGCGCGACGAAGAACGCTTCCCCCTCGTCGAATTTCCCACCCCACAAGGCGGACGCGAAGCCGTGCTCGTGCTGCGCGACGAATTCCGCGTCGAAGACGCCTCCGACGCTGGGCGCCTGCTCGCGCGGCGCGTGCAGGTGCCGCTCGTGCTCGCGTGGGCGATGTCGATCCACAAGGCGCAGGGGCAGACGATACAGCGCGTGCGCGTCGATCTGGGGCGGGTGTTTGAGAAGGGGCAGAGCTATGTTGCGCTGTCGCGCGCGGCGGCGGTGGAGGGGCTGCAGGTGCTCAATTTTGATGCGAGGAGGGTGGTTGCGCATCCGAAGGTGGTGAGGTGGAGTAAGGGGCTGGTGCAGGCGGGGGCGAAGGGCGGGACGGGTGCGGTGGGGGTGGCTGGGGCTGCGACGGCTGTGAGTGGGGCTGCGACGGCTGTGGGTGCTGGGGAGGAGGCGGAGGAAGTGCGTATGTAAGGGAGGAGGCGAAGGAAGTGCGTATGTAAGTAGGGGATGTGATGCGTGGCTCCGAGGTGAGGTTTATTTTGACAGTGAAAGGACACTGTCTTGCATATTTTATCGCTATTATTCTCGAGAGCGTTGGTGATGATGACCGCCTTTCATACCTATATCACAGCTTGGCTAGAAGCATATTTGTAGCGTAACTTCTTCGAACGTCCGTACGGCGGTGTAGCTTAATCCAATGCGTGTGTTTTACAACATGGGTGTTATCATTGGAGACAGTAACTTCCGCTCTGAGCATAAGTATATCGATACAGCTGGTACAACTTCCTCAATCCTTCCTCCGTCAATGGGCAGCCACGCTGGCGAGGTAATCGTGGCGGATGGGGTTCTCGTCCGTTGCGGAGCCGCGGTTGAGTGGTGTCCACTTGGGCTCGTCCTATCGTCGTAAAGATAATGATCATGTCGATCATCGATACTCAGGGGCTCGGTGAACGAAGAGGCTGAATGTGAGCGTACCTTGAACAGGCGCATAGCTTTGATGATGTTCTTCTCGTCGAGCGTGAAGCGGTGGTAGATTCCGGCGGGGAGGACGACGAGGTCGCCCTGCTCGACGTGGATGCGGACCCATGAGTCCACGGGGTGCTCTGTTGAGCGATCATGTGAATATGGAGAAGGGGGGTGTGGAGGGAAGGGGAGAGAGGGAGGGGTGCTCACCGCGGACGTCGAAGAAGCCGCTGCCGTCGAGGATGTACCGGATCTCCTCGTCCTCGTGCATGTGTCTGTCGGATGAAGATACCAAGGATCAGCAATTAAATCGCAAGCGTTCTTGTTTCACCGCCAGTGCCAGCTAGCGGCAGGGGACCCGCCCCTCGCCTCCGTTGTATCAGGAGTTGCCGACCAACGCCCTAGCATCCGGAGGCAGCGCGCCAGATCCATCCCGAACGAAGACGCGCAGAATACAGACCCCACCACCACCAACGACGAAGCAGTTCACTCAGTACACAGAACTCACTCTTCAAAGAACATCTTCAACTTCGCCTCATACGCATCGCCGAGCCCCTCCTTGGTGATATTGATCGTGTCGCGGTTCTTGTAGTCGCGCTCGCGCGCGATCTGGTCGATCGCCTGGATGTAGTTGTCGTCCGCGTCGACGGGGATGTGCCAGCTGAGGACGCCGAGCGAGCGGAGGGCGTCGGCGGGGACGGGCGTGCCCGAGTCGTGCAGGAGGCGCTGGTCGCCCGGGGCGTTGTCGAAGTAGTAGGCGCGCATGGTGATTGGGTAGCCGAGGGCGGGTGAGGGTGAGGATGAGTTGGTGCTGTGGAAGGTATTTATCCTGAGTCAGATGGTGTTTTGTCAGATTGGCTGTGGTATATCCAATGATCGCCAGGGAACCTGTCACGAGCGGCGTGTCGAGAATGGTGTGCCCTGCATGTAGGTGATTGCGCCCGAAGGTGTCGGTTTTCGGGTCAACCCTAGACCTGTTTCATTGAATTATCTAGTCTTCTTCCGTCCAGAGGCCATTGAGTCAAGTACATCGAGGAAGAATGTCAGATGCGAGGTAACTAGCGAGCTGTTCGGCTTCGGGTGGGACCGAGCGCCGCCACACCACGTCTTCAACGCCATGACCATCTATCTATATCAATATCCGTCACGCGCATTCTCACTTTACCAATAACTCAAAAAATTACCTTCATAATTGGTATAACAACCCTCTTGACTTTGCAGTGTCTCTTGCAAAGCAATCCACTTCTCCTCTCTCAAAACACGCAATTTCTGCTCTATCCTTACACTGTTGCTGTTGAACTTACGAGAGAATCTTTACTAGCAAGGAGAATGTGATCGGTCCTAACTTCTAGACACACAGCCCATGCAGTAGACTCGCGCTCGCGGGCGTCGGTCCACCGGACGGTTGCTACCTGGAGGTACGTCGGGCCACCGGATCATCAGGTGATGGTGCGATGTGCTTCGGGTGACCTGACGGGGTTGAAAATGGCCATCCGCGACTTATATAATGTGCGCGTACGGCTTACAATATAGTTATCAGAAGTAATAGAGATGGCGGATGGCAATCTGAGGTTGGTCATCGAGTGAGCGGACGTCCGGCCACCATCAGTCATTGAAGTCCCTCGGGTCAGCTGGCGAGTGGTAGAGTGGTTGAGTTGGGGAGGGCATCGGGAAAGCTGACGCCGTCGATGCATCCGCCGTGTCCGCGAGGGCGAGGGCATGGAGTCAGCTGGGGTCTGAGCCCTGCTTGGGTGGGATGGGCACCGAGCCGCATGATGGGGCCAAGGGCGGTGACGGGGCGGATGTTGGTGAC